TTGGAGTGGATTTCTCATCATTGAAGCCCAGATTACGTCCCTAGGAGTGAAGATTGACATCCCAGAGCAGATTTTCCTCATCTTTATGAGTATGACTACTCTGATTTCTGTTTTCCTTTTTCTCTCTATGGAGTAGAACCTTTCTCTCACTTGGGTATGAAGAACCCTAGTTCCTTGTGTTAGGGATTTGATTGTAATGACTTGGGATGATATTATTGTTTGATTTTAATCGAATGATGCATGTTTATTGAATTGATTGGAGTCTGATAAGCTTTTCTCAATTTCTGCTGCAACCTGAGATAGATAGAATCTGATTAGGTTGTTAGAGCTTCTTCATTCGATAGTATGAGATTGGCTATACGAGAGTTAGCCAGTTTACTGCTTTGTACTGGAACTCAATTCCAGTAGTGGAGTTCTGTGCTTACTGCTTCAGCTTTCTATCCCGGTGAAGACTAGTCGTCTACCGGGTAGTTAGAAAGAGAGGGCTTGGTCAGCTTAAGAGATTCCAAGCTACTGTCGGATCTTCCGCAGTCTAATCAACAGTAAATCAACCCAGGGAATTACAATTGAACCTAACTAAGGGGCTAGGGGGACTCATTCCCGAGTGACTCTTACCTGCTTTAGAAAACCGAACAGTTTACTACTTTCTTACTGCTTTTGCTTTTAAACAACAATCACTCGAATTAGTTTGCTAGATAATAGAGAATCACGGAGTAAGCAGTAGATCTAGACCCCGGGTTGATAATATAACTTGCCTGTTACTGCATTCCCGGACTGCGATTACACTTGGTCGCAGTTTGGTGTTGTGTTTTGGCGTGTCATGTAGCCGAAGGCCGGAGTCCCTCATGGTACTCCACTTCTCGCTCGTCCCAGACCAGTTTCAAGTTATGCAAGGTCTCGACTGGGAGAGAATTCATCCGGCCAATGATGAGGCATCCCGTGGTGTCGACCCCAAAATATCGAGCAATCCTCGTGATGATGCCCCCCAATGCATCGTGTCCACTCAGTCTCGACCCAACACTCTTGAGAAGGTGGTAGCAATCACTGATCCCAGATGAAGTGGTTTTGTGGGTCGGCTCAAGGTATGGAGGGAAATCAACCCCTTGTTGGTGACCATGTGCCCCGACTGCAGACTAGGGATCATCAACCGAGTAAGTAGCGTATGCAGGATCCTTCACGGTGTCTGGAACTTCACAACATTGGTGTTGGAGACCCGAAACTGGTGGTCTCGATGCTCTGGCCGGCAGATGGCACTGTATGCCTTCTGGTAGTGGAAGTCTCTGGTGTACTCCCGCTCTATCATCGTCATGGCGGTGGTGTTAAGGCCCATGGCCTGAGCAAACTCGTCATAGGTCAGCACGTGATGTTGACCTCCCAACATGAACTCCATGTATGGCATGTTCCTTCTACTGTTAGGTATCTCATAGATGAAGGTGGAGTAGAACTCCAAGCAAAGCTCTCTGTAGACGAGCTCGTCCACAGATAACAGACCTCAACCTTGGGATGGATGAGCACCCCAGACATAGCCGCCCGACACCTAAACATGGTGACACATGTCCAGGTCCAATAACCAGTGAGGTCCCACATCGTTGTTCCTCCACTCCTCGAAAGTCGAACCTATCCTCGTACTTGTGATGATTCACCAAGTAGCCAATGTACAGGTGGTCGGTATCAACCATCCTGCGAAAACATCAAAACCATACACCATACGTGGAAACATTTCATCAATCTCAAATCGATGGGGAGAAAAGAAATCCCCCCCCCCCCCACACACACACTTAGAATCCCACTATGCCTTTTAGGCTTTTCACAAGACCAATTCCCACAAATTTAAGCTCAATTGCACACAAGGCACACCGAGGCATGATTCTAGGTGATTCTTAGTTCAACAATATAGCAAATTCGAACCTAAACCATGCTTCAAAGGCCACCAACCATCATTCACAAAAGGAGGATAAACATTCATTCATAAATTGCACTTAGTGGCCATTTTTCTCAATTCAACACAAATCATGTCAAATTCATGCCTACCAAGTAGGGCTGGAAGTTTGGTATCGGTATTTGGGATATACCGAATACCGTACCGAATTTGTCTATATTTGGTATTACCGAATATACGAATTATTTTTTGTGATTGGGATTGGGATTGAATTTCATTTGTTATTCGGTATTAGGGATTACGGGATTGGGATCGGTATATACCGAAATACCGATCAATACCGAAATATAAGCTAGTGTGTATTTTATCTTTTCAACTAGACTTTCTCATTCACTACTACACGACCCTCAACCACAAAAAGTGTCATTTAATTATACATAGATCATTTCATCACTATTAATAGTCGTCTGTCAACCTCCAATTCGTCAAATTAAAGATTACCAATGACAAGAACTCGAGATGTCTCCCCTCCACCATTCTCCTTAATAATATCCTAATTCAAGACTCTTTGCTTAGTCTTTTTTCCCTAAATGAAACAATAAAATCTAATTTATATATTTAATTATTAATTGTAAAGGTACTAAATTTCGTATTCGATAATACCGATTGGGATACCGAAGTACCGATTGGGATACCAGTATATTTAGGGATTGGGATTGGGGTACCGAAATTATTTAGGGATTGGGATTGACTTTAGGGTGTAATTCGGTATTTGGGATTTCGGTATTTGGTATTGGGATACCGATACCGTACCGATTTCCACCCCTACTACCAAGGCTCAACTAAGCTAAAAAAACACTTCATTCATCATTCAAACAACATTAATCGACTAACCCCTCGCCCCATTTCAACATTCATTCATTAAAACACAAAATCCCCTCACCTACAACCTAATCCGATTCTCCAAAATTAACAAGGCAAAAGTTCAAAACAAAGTTGGAGACCTAAGTAGGATCAAAGGGGAGGGTGAGGAGAGGGCGAGGGAGTCGAAAAATGCACGAAAAACTGCCCGGAGAGGCTCGCCGGAGCTTCGTCGGAAGCTCACCGGAAGCTCGACGGAAATTGCCTTGCCAGAAAGAAGTCAAGCCAAATCGCTCCAAAACTTCGGCGAATGTGCGCCAGAAAATGACTGATGTCGCGGTTTTCTGTGAAGATTTCAGAGAATTCCGGCGGAGGGTGGCGGCGTGAAGTGAAGAAGAAGGGTTCACGACCCTTCATGATCGTGTACACCGTGATAATAACTTCCGGACCGTGAACTCGGGTAAAAATGACGCGTTTCAAAAAGCTGGGGCTTGCCTTTGTTCATGGTCTACGCCTCATTATCATGGTCTGCTGACCGTGATAATAAGGCTAAAACCGTGAACTGATGAAAAACAGGGAATTTCCCAAAAATTCAAGACTCGATCTAATCAATTGTGCCCCTAACTTGATCACAACACATCCAAAACATGCAGACACACAACTCTGGCACGGTGATCACCACTCAACCACTTGAACTCATCACTCAATTACAAAAAGAGAAAATAAGAACAAACCTACGTTGGTTTGCCTCCCAACAAGCGAGGTTAACGTTGCTAGCTCGACGTTGCAGATCTTTCATGCTTGAGAGCACGAGGCCTCCAAGAGGGGATCCGCCACGATCTCGAAGCGAGGCTTGTCACCTCCCATCTCAAACTCCAAAGGGTGGCCTTCTTGACTGGGCACTTTCGTTTTATCCTTATCCTTCTTCAGGGTAAAGGCGTGGCTCATATTTGCACGCCACACTTTCTTCTTTCCCCCTTCGAGTTTGGTACCCGCCTTAGGTTCCTGTTTCACATCAACAAAAGGAATAAAAGCACTAGTGGGGTTTGCCTTGAGTGGCTCACCTCCACCTCCAGACATACCATTCGATTCCACTTCCTTAACGTCATCCTTCTTACTCTTAGTGTCAACCGAAAAGGTAATTTACTTCGCTCCATCTCTCAATATCAAAGTACCATCATTAACATTAATTAACACCTTGGCGGTGGCAAGGAAATGACATCCTAGTATGAGGGGCGTATCCAAGGCATTCAACGACTTCCACTGTTGAGCCTATCTTCCTCGCCGGAACTCAAACCAACACACCCCGCTCCACCTGCATCCAGCTTTGGAAGTACTGATTCCTTCTTGAAATAGTCCGGGGTGGAGTTTGTACTGGTGTTGTTGGTTGTGGTGATGACTGATGAGTATTAGCGGCACCGCCACCGCCAGGATTAAAGAAGGAGGAAACAATAGCGGTGTCTCCTAGCATTGGAGGAGACGACGAAGCACTCACCCAATTAATTATTTTGTTAAAATGACGTGTCATTAAGTTAATGGTCCAGTCAGTAGTTCCATTTGCCACGTCATCGAAAAATTAATGGAGTTAACAGAATCTGATAGAGACTTACGACCGATAACTAACTGTAAAATGATTCGTAAAGCTAGTGACAAATAAAAAAGAAAAGTAATTCAAATGAAAAATGTGAAAGATTTATATAAGAGTGACCAACGTATAATTTAGAAAAAAAAAAACAAATTTGATGAACACCAATGCACCCTTCACAAGGCGTTGACACAAGTTGAATCAAATATCCACTGCAAAGCCCAATAGTCAGTAATTGGGCCACAGAAATATGGGCTCGCGGTTGCGCGGTAGAGCACCACCGAACCGCTTGACCCGCGAAGGCTTCGTTGACATGACAAACAGCCATTTGTTTTTCCTTCCCATGAATTTGTCACACGAAACCGACACAGCAGTGGTTTAAAGAACCTTTGCAAAACCTTTATAAACCCTTAAACCCTAGCTAACTGCGGCAAGCAAGCAAGCAAGCAAGCAAAAGGGAGAGGGCCGAGAACTTTACCGCCGAATTACGTTGCCGGCCAGAAGGACCAGCGACTTAATTATCGTCTTTGTTTTTCTGTGTGCAGGGTTTTTGGAGAATACTGTGTTGTATAACCTTTACTGCAGGAGCTCTGGATATTGTAACACATACGTCGCACAGTTTCCTTGATCAAACCTATCGTTTACCTGTTTTAGTATATACTCTAGGTTTTTCAGATGGCAATCGATGGAAGGTTCAGTGTCCAATCTGCGCTGGAGAGGCTCCTTGCTCGTTGCCCAGAGCTCAAACGAATTAAGAAGATTGATAATCTTGTTAAAAAGGTGCAAATCCATTCTTAAATTACTCCTTTTCCAAGGATGAGGAATTGGAAGGCCTTGGGAGGATAGACGAATGAACTTCTTTCCCCCCTTGTTCTTCCCGTTTTTCTTCGACGAGAACTGTAATCTTTCTCTGTGGCAACCCATTTGTGTAGTCTGTTAAGTTATTGGCATTGGAATTTGTGTGTGTGCAGGGGGACGCAGGGATAGAAGAAGTGGTTAATTTGGCGGCAGAACTGTTTGTGAACCCAAAATATACAATTCTATTGGTTGGCTGTTTCCGAGCAATATCTCAAAAAATCATAGAGAAAGTGGTGTGGTTACTTGGCCAATGCAATCTGACCGGCAACACTAATGAAGAAGTAGGAAGTTTCAGTGACGCAGAAGCGTTTGTTGTTGAGCATTGCGTACGGAATGGCATGGGTTTGTATCTTCATGAGCTTGCTTGCTTGGCCTTCGCTCGTGCTCTTGACTTGGACCAGTCCTTGTGGAGGTAATTTGTTCTTCTCTGCTCAGATACGGTGCACTTGTGTGCTTGCAGTAGTTGCACATAGTGCTGCGTCACTGTTAATTTCCACCTTTAGGTTGTGACGGCCTCTGTATAATTCTGTCACTTGAATCTGTTTTTTTTTTGTTCAGCGTCTGCTTTTGTCAGTATTTGGATATTGGTATTAAACTGCTACTCTAGTGATGTAGTACCTCTCAGGGTTACATGTGTAAGATGTTCCTTGTTTTCCACTTGTTGCAGGTCTGTATCTCCGTATTTTAAATTCTCTCCTCCGCCCTTTGAAAGGATCTTGAGGAAAAGGGTGGTTTCTGAGATCTCGAAGGTTCTCACTCTTATCCCTCATGTTTCTGATTCATTTGTGTTGCAGTCTCGGGTATTTGTATCTGTTTATGTGCAATTGAGTTTACCTGCCATTTATAGTCAGTAGTAGATAAAATGTTATTCTGGTATTGGTCAATTTTATCCTTCTCTATATCTTAATCATCACTTGGAAGGGGATGTATCTATGATTGATGTCCTGACCTGTAACTGTAAGTAGGAGTTGAAACTTAATAGACGGGAAATGTGGTGAAATGCTTTTTCAGCTTTTTTTTTTTTGAAATTTTCAAACAGACTTAAAAGTTTTTTTTTTTTTTTATAAGGGTGATATAGGTTCATTTTGTTGCTATTAAGGTACTACTTAAGGGATTCGAACCTGGGACCTCCAGGTTCTAGGCTAATGGAGTTACCACTAGGCCAAGCCCTTGTTCGTCAAACAGACTTAAAAGTTGATAGAGTTTTGGGAACAAAGCCTGTGTGATGGCCCGATGATTTACACAAAACTTGTTACAGTCACTCCATTCCATGTGGTATTGTGTTTGGAGTAGGACGGCAGCAGGAAATTTACCTCTTGATTTGACTCCTTGTTTCTGAAATGTTGATTGATTTATTCCCTTATCACACATGTATTTATATATATTTTTATCAACCGTTTTTATTATTTTTAAAATATTTTATTGAAGATCTGTTTTGTGTCTCTCCAGCTTGCAGAGCATTACTTACTTGTAGCCCGGACGTCTTATCGTCTCCTTCTTATGGAGCCAGAGTGTTTTTCCAAACTATGGGACTGGTCTTGTTTTTTGGATCTTCTGAAGGAGACTCAGTGTCTTGATATGAACCTTCTCAGAGAGCACGAGAGGGAACTTTCAGATATTAGATGGTCTGGGGAACAAATTCTAGCAGTTCTGTTGAAACTGAATGGGCCAAAGACCGAAAAGGCAGAAGAAGCAGCATCGTGTCTGTTGCGGTTGGTCTATATTTTGAATTTTGTTTGTAATTCAATTTTCTGTAGGCCTTCCTTACATGTGTAAGTATGTGATTCCTTTCCTGTTTGCAGGTGGGAGGACTTTTGTCGGGATGTCGCTTTAGAGAAGGGTGGTTCATACTTTGAGCTATTTGACAATACCAAGGAATATTCTTCCAATCATTTTAGCGAGCAGGACTGCCTAGAATCTATTAGCCTTGGTCCAGTGAAGTCATCGCCGCTTCAGGAAATTGAGCCTGCAGTAAAAAGTCGAAGGTTAACTAGATGGTATGTTTTTCAACAATCATCTATGAAGCTTGAATAATTAATTTTCTTACATTGTAAATGAAGTTAGTCCTAACGTCATATATGAAGAAAATTCGTGGGTAGTGATGTTTGTTTCTTCATTTGATTGTTAATCTGTTACTGTTTTGCCAACATAATTAGGATCTTGAAGTTTGCTTTGTTGACTTTTATTGCGTTCTGTGGTTATTAGCAGTGAATCGGTTCGCAATCCTTTTGTCGTCACATCGGCGATGCGAAGAAGCTTTGAGATGGTTCTTTTAGCTGTTAGTCAAAGGTGGCCTGTTCTTCTTTATGGTCAACCTGGGGTCGGGAAAACAGGTCTGATAAGCAAGTTGGCTGAAGATACCGGAAACCAAGGTATTTCAAATTACAATAAGAACAATAAGAATTGTAGAAGTTAACATATGCTACCCCAAATCTCCTACGTGTTTGTTGCACAACCATTTTAAGATTCGGTTGCATCTCCTGTTAAATCAGTTGGTTTCTGGAGCTTGTACTTGCCTGATTAAATGGACTAAAAAGTTTTCTAATAACAGGATTTACATGAAAACAAAGTTATATCTAACTGGTACAAGTTTCAGTGAGCATTGACATTACGTAAAAGACACACCTAATGTGTATTTTTATCTTGATCTCTAGGTAGTGTACCTGCAGCTTAAGGAAATTCCTTTAAGGCATCTTGGGGTCCGATTGTATGTTAGAGATTTTTGCCTTTTTGGGTCCATTTTGCAGTATAGATCTATCAAAGGTTGGAGGCTGAGGATAATGGTTGGCATGCAAATATAAGATGTTGCCATTTATGTAATGTGAGAAATTAAAAAGATCTAAAAAGGAATATGAAAAGTAATGAAGCTTCATCACTTGGTGTGAAGTGTGGTATCATTCTCTAATTGTGTGAAAATTATTTTATGTAAAGCTTCATTATTTGTGGAGTAGACTGTCTAAGCACCACATTTAGGACATGGTTGTGGAACGGGAGAGTTGTGGAAGCTGTTTGTACTCTAAAGTGCTTAAACTTGAAGTATGGGACCTTGGTTTGGCTCTGTGCTAGATTCTCTAATGAACACATCATTTAACCTTCCATTTTATTTTTTTATTCCAAGTTTCTTTTACTTCCTCTTACGGTGGTACCTCCAGGCTATGTTTATTTACTGATATATGTTTCTTGTTCCAGTTCTGTCTATTCATATGGATGATCAAATTGATGGCAAAACATTGCTTGGGAGTTATGTTTGTACCGAGAAACCTGGTGAATTTAGGTGGCAACATGGAACACTTATCCAGGTTTGTTTATTACATTTATGATGTGCTTGTCTGTAGACCTGTTAGATTCCAGCCCTTGTGATTGAGTATGCAGTATGGGCTATCTTCCATTCACCGTGACCGAGACAGTTCTCTTTCCACAGGCTGTTCTGGGTGGGTATTGGGTTGTATTTGAGGACATCGACAAAGCCCCAGCTGATGTGCAATCTATCTTGTTGCCTCTATTAGAAGGTGCAAGTTCTTTTGTCACTGGTCATGGAGAGGTAACCATGTAACTCAATCTATATAGTTTTAGTTTTTTCTTTTTGCTTTGATCATTTTAGTAATAACTAAGGATCGCTTTCTTTCAGGAAATACACGTGTCAGCAAATTTTAGATTATTCTCTACCATTTCTACATCTAAGAGTGATGTATCTCGATCAGCCGAAGGTTTGTAGAATTTATCTCTGGTTCAGCTTCATTGAAGGCTGCTCTTATGTTGTTTTAATTAAAGGTTCTGCAGGAATTATGTGTTGTACTTGTTGTGGTTGAAATGGAACTTATCCCGTCTTTTTCCTGTTTGAAGGGGGGAATGTGCTTAGCGTTTTTTGGAGAAGGGTGATGATTGACCCCCCAAATACAGATGACTTGAAAAACATACTGAATGTGTGGTATCCAGTTTTAGAGCCTCTATCTGGAAAGATCTTGCGTGGGTGTTAACTTTTCTTGGCTTATCTTATTTAAACTTTGAATTGCCTTAGCTAGCAAATGATAGTATTCACTCTGTTCTGTTTTTGTGCCCATTTGTAGAAACATTTGAGCGAGTCAACTCTGCCACTGTCCTTCAATCTTGTGGTTTTCTATCCAGAAATTCTGCTTCCTCCAGTTCCCTTTCCAGGTTCTCAACAAGGTATTATGTCTTCCGTCACATTGGCTCCAGAAGATATTGTCACCCAGGTCCTTACGCTAATAGAAAATTTCATGTGTGGTAATGCAGGGATCTACTCAAGTGGTGCAAACGAATTTCAGGGTTAATTTCTAACTTTAATGGAGATAGGTCAACTGAGTGGCACTTTATTTACCTAGAGGTCTGATCTCGTCATTTAATGTCCTGCACTTTGTTTTCTGTCTGCTGATTCATTTATGATGTTGGAAGTTTATTTGATTTTCTTATAATGTCTACTTTCAGGCTGTAGACATATTTGCAGCCTTTTCAGCGTCTGTCGAGAAGCGGCTTGCTGTGATGAAAGAAATAGCTGATGTGTGGGGAGTTCCCCACTCTGAAGTTGCCATATTCCATCCTTTCAGACCTGAGATTCAGGTGACTATATCTTGATAATATAAAGAACTCAGCTACTTATATGCCTTGACTTATATTTATTTGTGTACCTCAGGTTCTTTCTACGGAGCTAAGGGTTGGTCGAGTTACCCTTGAACAACACAATACTACGGTTGGTGGGAGCATTTGTTTTAGCCTAGTTGAGTTTGTATCCTTCTCTTTGTTGATATAAAATTATACTGTTACAGGATCGCTTTCATGGAAAACTTGTCGCGATGCGTAGTTCTCTGTATGTACTTGAGAGGATAACTTGTTCTGTTAAGAACAATGAGTCTGTTCTTTTGGTTGGTGAAACTGGAACAGGGAAAACTACTCTTGTGCAAAATCTGGCCATGATGCTTGGTCAGAAACTGACTGTTGTGGTACGTACATATCTTTCTTCCTTCCATATAGTTTTCTCCTTTCGCCTCATCATATCTAAGATCTTACGGGAGCTGCTATTGGCTTACAGAACTTGAGTCAGCAAAGTGATGTTGCTGATTTACTAGGAGGATTTAGGCCCATGGATCCACAGTCTATTTGTGTTCCCCTCTACAAGGAGTTTGAGAACCTGTTTTCCAGGACCTTTTCTGTGAAGGTATGTGCTATATGGAATTATGATTTTCCTGTGATGTCCTTTTGCCTTCGTGATCTTGAGTAACTCGTTTTTGGATGCTGGCTCGCAGGAAAATGGTCAAATCTTTGCCTATTTACAAAAGATCCTGAGCCAAAAGAATTGGGGAAAGTTATTGAGTCGGTTGAAGAAGTACGTTGAGGATGTCTATAAAAAGGTACCAATAGAAAGCTTTGGGTCTGGGAAGAAGCGAAAGCAACATTCAGACAGAGAAATAATTCGCGAGGACTGGGATAGTTTTGCTAAGAAAATTGCAACTGCTTACGGGCAAGTGGGAGATTCATCTGGTATGATATTTTCTTTCATAGAAGGAGCCTTCGTCAATGCTCTTAGAAATGGGGAGTGGATTTTGCTCGATGAGGTGAATTTAGCACCCCCTGAGACTTTGCAGAGAGTCATTGGTGTTCTAGAGGGAGAATACGGTTCACTGTGTTTGGCTGAAAAAGGAGACATTGTAGATATACCTCGTCACACCAACTTTCGCATGTTTGCCTGTATGAATCCTGCAACTGATGCCGGGAAGAGGGACTTGCCATACTCTCTGAGGAGTAGATTTACAGAGTACTTCGTTGATGATGTGTTGGACCGAGAAGACCTGAAATTATTTATAAACAAATATCTGGTGGAAAGAGAAGCAAATAGTGAGTTAGAAAGCCGGATCATTGATTTCTATGGATCTGCCAAAACGAACTCAGAGGATAGGCTGCAGGATGGTGCCAACCAAAAGCCTCAATACAGTTTGCGGTCGTTGTACCGAGCACTGGAATATACCAGAGAAGCAAGCAAACAGTTTGGCTTTCAGAAAGCTTTGTATGATGGATTTTCTATGTTCTTCCTGACTTTATTGGACCAACCCAGTGCTGAAATCATGGAAAAATTGCTCACTAGGAAGTTGCTTGGTGGAAAGAAACCTTTAGATGTACCTTTTTGCTCGTACTTAAATGACTTGCATTCTGCAGAATCCATGGCAAATTATGTGCTCACAAAGGGTGTTGAGAAGCAGCTTGAGAATTTAGCACGTGCAGTTTTTATTAAAAGATACCCTGTCCTCTTACAAGGGCCAACATCTAGTGGAAAGACGAGCCTTGTTCAGTATCTTGCCACCAGAACAGGGCATAAATTTGTGCGCATAAATAACCATGAGCATACAGATTTACAGGAATATTTAGGGTCTTACATATCTGATGCTCATGGAAAGCTCGTTTTTCATGAAGGCGTATTGGTTAAGGCAGTCCGGGAAGGTCATTGGATTGTTTTGGATGAGCTTAACCTCGCCCCATCTGATGTACTGGAGGCGTTGAACCGTCTGCTAGATGATAACAGGGAACTTTTTGTTCCTGAATTGCGGGAGACAATTAGGGCACATCCAAATTTCATGCTTTTTGCCACTCAGAATCCGCCTACTTTCTATGGTGGCCGTAAAATGCTTTCTCGTGCTTTTCGTAATCGTTTTGTGGAGGTTCATGTGGATGAAATCCCAGATCACGAGATGAGCACAATTATTGAGAAGCGGTGCTGTGTCCCTGGGAGCCGTGCTGGACTCATGGTTGAGGTCATGAAGGAGCTGCAGATGCGCAGGCAGAGTAGCAAGGTCTTTGCTGGGAAGCATGGATTTATAACTCCAAGAGATTTGTTTCGCTGGGCTAGTCGCTTGCGAACGTTTTCAGATTCTAAGGAAGTAATGGCAGAGCATGGTTATTACCTTTTGGCGGACAGGTTGCGTAATGAGGCCGAGAGGGTTGTGGTTCGGGAAGTACTGAAGAAAGTTATTAAAATTGAAATTCATGAAGAGAACTTGTACACGGTAACGTTTTTGCAATCTCGAGATGCTTCCACCAAATTGTCATTAAAATAACAGTGTGTTAAGTAATTCTAGGTCCCTCTTATAACTGGACTGGCATATGTTTCAAATTTGTCCAAAATAGGCTTGACCTTTGTTGTCTGGCATGTATGCAATGAATGCGTTGAATGTCTGCTGGTGTTTTAGTTTCATGGTTGCAATTCAGCTTGCTAGAGGCCGTACAGTTCATATGGTATTTATGACATTCTTCTGACTGGAGCCTGTGAATGCAGCTACACATTTCTTTCAGTTTGCTTATATTTTGTATCATTCTTCTCCTTTTGCTGCTTGATTCTTGTCCATCATTACCCAATATAACAATTGTTGTGCTTGCTGTATGCTGCATTTTAAATCTCACTATGGACTTCTTAATGTCTGCGTGAACTTTGGTTTTTTCTTGCTTAATTTTCTGTGTACTGTTCAGGGATCAGCGGGAAGTCATTCAAATTCAGGCTTCCAGAGTCTAGGAGAGTATGTACTTCTTAGATATCTTTTCTGCTCACGTTTTTCCTGTGAAGTTTTACACTGTTTCTGTGGCGTATCCTACTTCCTCAAGCTGATCTTTCTTCTTCACATTTTTTCATATTATTTTGTTCAGTGTCATCTTGACTGCAAGCATGAGGAGATTGTTTTTTCTTGTTGACTGCTGCTACAAGTTGCGAGAGCCTGTCCTGCTAGTTGGTGAAACTGGTGGTGGAAAGACAACTGTCTGTCAGCTACTAAGTCGTACTCTGGGGTCAAAATTGCATATCTTGAACTGTCACCAATACACGGAAACTTCTGATTTCCTTGGGGTTTGTGTCCTTTGCTCTAGTTTCTGTGTTCCGCTTTTCTTTTTTTGAATTACCTGTTTAAATGTCGTAAGGCTACTCATCAAGTAGTAGTTGACGCGTTGAACTGGCTTAACAGGGTTTTTTCCCCATTCGAGAGAGGTCAAGGTTGGCTGCAGATTTCAAGGATACAGTAGAAAAATTGCTGATGACAGAGGCTTTCGCTCATTGCCCTAAAGACTTGGTAAGGAACCGTTGACATTTTCTGGTGGGAGATCTTAAACTTCTCAATGAACATATAACTCCTTACATGTTCCTATGGTGCAGGGCATTTCTTCCGACATTCGCCAAGGGTCTTCAAGCATTGCTTCTGTTGATGAGATAATCCGTAACTATAGACAAGGCCAGTTCTCAGTCACTAACGTTACTGCTGAAGACCTTGATACCCTCGAGGGGATGAAATGGGATCTCAGTGAGCTGCATAAAAAATGGCAGACTATATTTATGTGGCAAGATGGTCCCCTTGTTGAGGCAATGAAGGCAGGAGATCTGTTTCTTATTGATGAAATATCATTGGCAGATGACAGTGTACTGGAAAGATTGAATAGTGTGCTAGAGCCAGAAAGAGAACTGGTTGGTATTATTAACATTTAATTGTGGAGCATGTTCTTTATTGTATGTCATATAACTGCTGTTACTCTGTGCTAATCGTCCTTACCCATCATTCTTGTGTTGTGCTTGTACTTTTAAATTTTTATATTTACTAGTTAAAGGAAGTTTTAGGTCAGAGAATCATATTACTATTAAGTGTTTTATTAGAATATTGGATTAATTTTGTTGTCTCTATTGGATAGAACGATATATGCATTGCTTCCAGATTAGCTTTTCTGGCCTAGATCTGATGTCATATTCGGGTATGGGGTGCTGAAAATGTTTGTGATGTGTAAACTTATAGGAATTTTATCTTTGCAGTCACTGGCAGAGAAGGGAGGGTCTGAAATGGAAAAAATTACTGCTCATCCCAACTTTTTTGTGCTTGCTACTATGAATCCTGGTGGTGACTATGGTAAGAAAGAGTTATCTCCAGCTCTTCGAAACAGGTTTACAGAGATTTGGGTCCCTCCTGTTGGTGATTTGCATGAACTTAAAGACATTGCATTGAACAGGTACATTATCATTGTCAGTGATGGTTTAACTTGAAGATTAAATGGTTCTCTTTTTTATGTTTAATTTAAACTTGTGCTTTCAGATTCAACCACCTCGACCTCACATACATTCTGGATGTTATCGTAAAGTTCTGGGATGTAAGTTTACTATGTTTTCTGAGGTTTCCATAATGCAGTGGACAATCTTCTTAACTTCGCTGTGTTTGTTGCAGTGGTTCAACAAGTTACAGACAGGGAGAATACTTACTGTGCGGGATCTTTTATCCTGGGTTGAATTCATTAATGTTACTAGAAGAAGTCTGGGACCACAATATGCGTTAGTACACGGGCTTTTCCTTGTTCTGCTTGATGGTTTACGTCTAGGTAATTATTTATTCTCATCGTTGGACATTGCATCTTATCTTGCTACACTTTGTTCTGCTTGCCTGCTTTCATGGAAGGGGAAAATTTTTGACTTCAGATATCAACATAATTTTCACATCACTTCCTATTGCCAGCATTCAGAATCCTCCGCGAGATCCGATTGTCTTGCTGGCAATCGGTTGAACGTCCTTTTCTTGAGGCTTGTGTGCTGATGCACATTTAATTGATGTCATCAGAGGTCTTTACTGTTAACAGGCGAGAATACTTTTGTACTCTTTTGTATGCAATGCAGCTCTGGTCTAGTCATGCCTTGTCTAATACTTCGACGACAGATTCAAAGTGGATGGCACTAGTTAATATTACATTTTACTATCCAAGTTACAACTACTATTCTGCTTCTCTTTGCCTGTTCATTTGCACTAGCATGTCGCTTTCCCATTATATTTTGTTAACTTGTTTTCGGTACTCCTTCCTTTAGTTACTTGTTTGACGTTCTGAGCTGAGTTTATTATTGTCCTTCAGGAACAGGGATTTCTTTACCTGATGCCAGAGTCTTAAGAGAGAGATGTATATCCTTTATCCAAGAACAACCCGAGGTAAATTTTATTCATCTATATGCTTCTGGTTCCATTTTGCTAATTGAAGTTGTAGAAGGGTTGTTTAGGCTAAACATGATAATGAACCAACTTCCTTTGTGCACCATATACATGATTTATGTAGGTTATTTATGCAAAGTTAATATTGGAAGTTAGATCTGATTGTCGAAGTTATATTTTTATATTGTGCACCATGTTCAGTTGTTAACTTGTAAGATTCTGTAATGTCTCATTGACACTGCCTTCCCTACCAAGTTGGTTACAATTCTATGCTGTTGATGTCGTAGCTCCGTGGTGTTCCAAATTTGTCTCTTATGGATTATGGATGGAGTGATCAAATGGACATTTCATGCATTGAAGATAATCAGCCTGAAAATACATTTGGGATCAGTCCGTTTTATATTGAACAAGGTAATGTGGAATATGTTTGCTTGTTCTAATTTGCCTCCGCCATTAAAACAAAATTTTAATTTGCCTCCGCCATTAAAACAAAACTTTAGAACTGCATGAACTTCAAGTACATCATGTGTGTTTGAGCTCCATGTTGTGTGTTTTCTCAGGTGACCAGTGCTGTGAGTCTCAAGGTTTTGAATTCCTAGCTCCTACAACACGTAGAAATGCCATGCGCGTATTGAGGGCTATGCAACTTCCAAAGCCCGGTATGTTTTCTTGTGCATATTTTACTCTTACGATCCCTAACTATCAATCTGCAGAAGGAATTTCATAACTTCAGGTCAGGGCAGTTCTGTACTTCCTTGCTTTGTAAATGCTGTGTTTATGCTTTATGTTCGCATTGCTTGTGTAGTTCTACTGGAAGGTAGCCCTGGTGTTGGTAAAACAAGCTTGATTACTGCGTTGGGAAAATATTCTGGGCATAAAGTTGTACGCATAAACTTATCTGAGCAGGTTTGTCATTTAGAATGTGTTCTTCTTCATTTGGCTCCTTCTGCCTTCCAAAACTTCCCTTGTAATATTCTACCACTCATAAGCCTTACTCTGCCATAACTGGTTATTTTCTTTATGGTATTTTATGATTTTGTGTGTTCTTTTGTTTGTGTTCTCTGAATGTGCAGACTGACCTCATGGACCTATTGGGTTCTGACTTGCCTGTTGAGAGTGATGATGGGATGAAATTTGCATGGTCTGATGGAATCTTGTTACAGGTAAGCCTTCCTATTTGAGGGCCTGTTCTGTTGACCTTCAATCAGCTATAAGTTCACTTTGTTGTGGTGGGGCAATTAAGTTCTGCTCACTTACTTTTTACTTGTCCTTGCTCAGGCATTGAAGGATGGTTCTTGGGTTCTGCTGGACGAGCTCAATTTGGCTCCGCAGTCTGTCCTAGAGGTACTTGTATTAGATTTAAAGACAACTATCTTTTGTATGCTCTTACGTTCTAATTCTTGGTGTTCTATTTTTATCAGGGCTTGAATGCTATCCTTGATCATCGTGCTGAGGTGTTCATTCCAGAGCTTGGACTTACCTTCAAGTGTCCACCATCGTTTAAAGTTTTCGCATGTCAGAACCCTTTCTACCAAGGAGGTGGCAGAAAAGGCCTTCCGAGGTCCTTTTTGAATCGATTCACTAAGGTATGTTTATCATACGATAAAGGCCATCTTACTTATCCTGCTTTGGGTAATTGGAGTTGCAATCTGGATCAGAAATTCATCACCAGTCTGTTTATTCCAGGTGTATATAGACGAGCTAGTTGAAGCTGACTACCATTACATCTGTAGTTCACTGTATCCTTCCATTCCTGGACCTTTGCTTTCAAAGTTAATCACTTTCAACAGAAGGTTGCATGAGGACACCATGTTACATCACAAGTTTGGACAGGATGGTTCCCCTTGGGAGTTCAACCTGCGTGATGTACTTCGTTCATGCCAGATAATTGAAGGTTTGTTTAACCCTCATTTCATATGATTTTGTATTTTATCTCTTTGTCCTACTAATTTTTTTCCCTTGAACATGTATTTCAACCTCAGGTGCCTCAGAGAAGTCAAAAGTTGATTGCTTTGTCAACATCGTCTATGTGCAGAGAATGCGTACAGCAGCTGACCGTATTGAGGTCCAAAGGCTGTACGAAGAGGTTTTTGGAGTTAAGCCATCCATCAATCCTTACCCAAGAGTGCAGCTGAGTCCAGAACATGTTAGAGTTGGTTACACAGTCATTCAAAGGAACGGCTGTTCTGCCTTAAAATCCCCAAACAGTGAGCTGAAACTTTTACCTAGCATTCGTCATTGCATGGAAGCTGTTGTTAGCTGTGTTAAGCATCAGTGGTTGTGCATCTTGATTGGTCCGCCATCCTCTGGGAAGACATCCTTGATTAGGCTACTTGGTCAGCTGAGTGGCAACAAGCTGAATGAATTGAATTTGTCAACTGCTACTGATATTTCTGAGCTACTTGGATCCTTTGAGCAATACAATGCTTTCCGCAATCTAAGACTGGTGTTTGCTCAAGTTGAGCATTATGTTACTGAGTACTGCAGTTTGAAGCTGGATGAGCCGAAGACCGAGTTCATCACCAGGAGAAGTGAGATAATGGCCAAATGGCTTACTCTCTCATCGAGCATGGATTTTGTGTCCTTGTCAACTTCCACCTTCATGTGTATCGAGAACTGGGATAGCATTGCTAAATCGTTGAACATGGTGATTGAGATTGTTGCATTGTTAATGTTGGATTTAACAAACAATCTCCTGCCTGTTTCTTGGACATCCAAAGAACTAGACAAAATTCTGAAGTCGATTTCAAAGTTTCAAGAACATCATCATGGGAAGCCCTCTGCCAAGTTCGAGTGGGTTACGGGATTGCTTGTGAAGGCAATAGAGAACGGGGAATGGGTTGTTTTGGAGAATGCAAACCTTTGTAATCCGACGGTACCTCTCCTGCTCATGAATTTTGTTTCTCTCTCTTCCCATACTTTTCAAATATTTTCTGTAACTAGCATGCATTGTCTCGTTGATCTGCATAACATTTTCTTGCATGCTTCAGGTACTTGACAGAATCAATTCTTTGGTGGAGCCAAGTGGGTCTATAACTGTCAATGAGTGTGGACTTGTTGATGGAAGCCCTCTCATTCTTCGCCCGCACCCCAATTTTCGGATATTTCTCACTGTTAATCCGACCAGTGGTGAAGTATCCCGGGCAATGCGAAATAGAGGCGTTGAAATATATATGATGCAGCCATATTGGCTGCTTGATGAGGCAGAGGGATATAATCATGCCGAGTATGAACTAAAGGATGTTGAGCGACATCTTGTTCTATCTGGTATTCCTGGTGTCAGATTGGTTGAATCAATGGCTAAAGCTCATGTTTATGCTAGAAGGCAAGCTTTGACCCATGGTCTGGAAATTTCTTATCTTGAGCTTGCACGCTGGGTTCAGCTGTACCAGAAGCTTCTCACAAGTGGAAACCATAATTTGTGGAGTCTCCAGATCAGTTGGGAACACACATATCTCTCATCCCTTGGGGAGGCTGCGGGACGTGACATTATCAGCCATGGGAAAGATATTTATTTATCAGAATCGGTACTGAAGTATGTTTTCTCTCTTCACTCTTCTCTGCAATTACCTGGTGGTTGGCCGGCACCTTTGAGAACCTTGGATTTTGTTTTGCACTCTGAAATGGCTACTGTTAAGCAGAACTGCATGTATTTGGAGACTCTGATCTTGCAATATGTAGGCTGGTCCTCACATAGGCATCCGATGAAAAGTCTTTTAACTCTGCCAAGTAGTGATGTGGCCTTCCTGATGAATGAGCAGCTGATTTGTAAACTTATGTTTCCTGAGACTCCTGAGCAGATGATTCCCAAGTCCTATGTTGACAAACTGGTTGATGTAAAGATGAAGAGACAAGTTTATTATGCTGCCAACTGGACTCTTGAACAGGCTACCTTGAAGGATTACAAGCTGTATCTTCTGCACCTTAGCTGGCTTAGCTCTAAAGTGAAACCTTTTAGCCTGTTCATTAGTTCATTACTGGAGTTACTTGAGAAGGAATTCAAACATCCTATTTGGGAGTGCATTTTCAATTCTCACCGCAGACTAGCCACTCATCGTAACAGAGATCTGTCTTTACAATCAAAACCATTGCTTTCTCTCGATTTTTCTGATGTTTCTGCATCAGATGGTGGGTTGAATGAACATGTTCTGCATAATGCTGTTAACTTGACAGGTCTCCTGAGGCAGTCACACCAGCAGTGGGATTCGCAGAACAGACATCTGTTTGTTAATGAAGCTCATTGTTTCAAACCAGTTCTTGAGTCTCTTCAACAGCTAGAAGAAGAAGTGCTTGAGAGACTTGTTGAATCTGAATTCTATGAACTACTGCGAACATTGTATTCAGACCTTATTGATCACCATGTTGCATTTTGGGAGGCTTTTATGTCTTCAAAGGTTGAGGAATTGTTGATCTCCTGGCAATGGCTAGTGAAGGATATATGCAACTTGCGAAATTTCTTCCCTAGGATAGCAGAAAATGTTTTGCTGGTATGTTAACTTTCACTTATATATTTCCCTCTTATCATGTTCATTGAAGTGAACTCAGATTCATCTGCTTGCTGCAGATTGCTAGCAGGAATCTTGATAGGTCTTTCCATCAGCGGTCAGAGCAGTCTCTGTTATGGGTTAATGGGGGTCATCCCATTTTACCATCTTCAGCTACTTTGTATGACAAACAACAAAAGCTATTCGATCTCTGTCAAACCATTTGGCCCACAAATATAAATCCATTCCAGCGTGGTATGGCCTGTTCATACTTGCTTGTAAATTTTTCTTCTGTCTTCTCTCTATTAATTTCTTCTGATCATGTTGCAGAAAACGACCATCTTGTTGAAGTATTAGCTTCTACGATTGCTGAGCTTCGTTCCCTTGGTCTGCAAGGTAATATTTGCTGGTGTTTATGTGCTTCCCACTTTTTGAATTTTACCTCTGCTGCCACGTATCTTTTGTAGTAGCAGACGTTGCATTTTATTCTGTTGACCACTGGTTCTGAAGGTTTCTCAGCTGACATCTCCAGTTGTGCGAGTGGTTTGTAGACCATTGCAAACACCACCCTTTCCCTGATGACTAATGTCACTCCAATATCTTAGATACATTCAGCTGCCTGTTTACTTATTTGTGAACAACAGAAACTTTTTGGGGATTGTCAACCTGCTCTTATGTGCATACAAGCAGTACACTAGGGGTCGCAGAAAGCGGTTGTTGATATCATTAAAATTACCATATCTATTGTCATCCTTCAGATATACAGTCTCTACTCTTACATTATGTACTTGCATTCAGAGGACACTGATAATTTTCACCTTAATTGCAAAGTCATTTCCTTTTGGAAAGCTTGTGTTGTGTCCTCAACAATCAGTTCTTTTATTTCAGGCATATGCATGTCTCTGTATATAGCAAACAAAAATGATGAGGACGGCACAGATATCGTTGGGCAGTTGGATGAGATGAATCAGGTTCACTGTACTTACTATAGATGATAGAATTGTTTGCTTTCTTTGTACTTTTTTACTCATTGTTTGTTGGGTTGGCAGGTACTTCGCAAGCGGTACTTGTTTGAAAAGAGAAAGTTGGAGGTGAAAGTCCAGGCGAGTGATAATGCGACTGCTGACGGGAGTCCAACTTATTGTTGTGTGATTCGCCCTGAACTCTTGTGGCTGAAAACGGGTCTTGTTGGTTGGCAAGAGACAATTCCCATCGTTGACGCTGCAAGTTTTTTCCTTGACATGGAGATATTGGAAAAGCTTTCACTTCTGATTCTGAATAATCCCAGAGCATTGCAACTGGTAGGGGCTTGTAGATGACATTCATCTTAACATTGGCCACCCTATTTCTGTTCTTCATCCTCCTATTGTTGGTTGAACTGCTTTATTCTTTTTATGTTGAAAAAAGAAAAGATGAGGTGCCAGGCTGATTGTTATGGTCCTTGTTATGACAGGAGTTGGCTTCAGTGACTTCACTGCTGGAGCATGCCTTAAAATACTCCAGGATTTCGGGAAGACCTCCACAGAATTTCATACCACACCAGAAAATACTGTGGATGTTTGATGCTTGGACATCCGTACATGAAGGTTTGTGACATGTGATGTTTTGTGTGTGTGTGTGTTTGGTTTTGTTGTGCTGACAACTGTGAATTTTTTGCCTAGTAGTAAATTCACGAATTACCAGCTATGTTCTTGAAATGTGGTTCTGGTGGCATTCTTCCTTGTGGAACCACTACCCTCCTTTTATTCAGGTATGCATGGAATTGGTCTAGATACTATCACACAGAAGAAGGTAAGGCTCAAATATGTGTATTTATGCCCACTCTTTTCTGCAGGAGTTCTCGAAGTTTGATGACTATGATCTTCCACTTCCACATATGCTTCTTCAGCCGATTAAGATAGCAACTGTTGCACAGATTCTGTGAGTGCAATTATATCTAGGAAGTTCGACAACCTTGACTATGTCATTATAAACCTTCACGCAGGCGCATAACTTTTGCTTGTTTCTTATTTCTGAATGAGAGAAAAACTGGTGTGCCATAGATTGTGCAATTGTTTAGATAAACAGAATGCTTGTTTCCTGTCATATGATAGTTCCCTAGGAAAATACGACAGCTATCCTTAACGTGGAGACGGAGCATATTCTACCTAGGTGGTCTATGCTCTTTCAGTCTGTGTGTCTTGGCTTTTATCTTTGAAGAGTTTTATAACAAGCATATAAAATGTAGCATTTATGTTAGTCTTGTCTTTTCACACTCGGCCGAGTAGTTATGTCGACATTGTCTCTTTTTCAATTCAAAATCTGTAATCAGGAGGGGCAAGGGTACTGTTAAGGATTATTTTGCACACTGCTTGAAGCTTGAAGCTGCTGTGTGTTATCTATGGCAAAGTCCCCAAATAGGATCTGGTGTTTCTGGATTTCTGTTGTCTGCTGCAAGTTCTCTCTTCCAACAGGTATTTTGGTACCATAAGTCTGCCAATTCACTGTTTCTCGCGTTATCAAGCAATGTATATGTAGCTATACTGTTTCTCGAGTTCTCTAACAGCAGATTTCTCTTATGATGTTTCACTAGATCATCCATGCACATGAGGAGACGTTTGATTCTGATACTTTTGCTGCAATTGCGAGAATGTTTTCCACTCTCCAGAAGAATATTGTAAAGGTATGCTTCTTGTAAGTACTCCGTCCTAATGGTAATTATTTTGAAGCCGTACTGACTGTGCTTAAATTCTATTGGTGCAGCAAACTGACCTAGAACAGCTGAGCTCCCTTGTTATGACATCGAAACATCGAAAATTGACGTCCCTGCATTTCCTGATTGAATCAGTGCTCAAAGATCTCTATATTCATCGTTCATCAACTGGTAATTTTGCCTACTGGTCATTACCCACTCTATGATTGTTTTGTGCCAGCTGGATTTTACTTTCTTGCTCATGTTTGCTTTGACTTAATTTTATCTGTAGTTGCAAACATGAACGTTGGGTACACTTGGTTGAGGATTGGGCTGTTGCGGTTCAGTCTCTTGATCACTTCTGATGACTTGGATCCTATGATGGAATATTCATACAAGTTTGCGCTGCTAGAAGATAAGATCTCATCACTTGAAGTCGAAATCAAGGTTGGGAATTTGATGGTTTTCTTTGTCTATTGTAACCACTGTTTTCCTTTTTGTGGTTTTAATATATTCGCTGCTGAGTTTCAACGAAGTATATTTCCTGCCTAGTTTGTGTTGTTAATTGTTTGTTCCTGTCTTGCATTGCTTGCCTGATTATCAACTCCTATGGGTATCCAAATTCCTTTACTTCATGAAGCTCTCGTGGATGTATGTAAACCTTAACTGGTATCTCTTGTTGTAGGTGCGACAAGAATGTGACTACTTATCAGGATGGGCTCAGTCAAGAGAGGCTCATGAAAACAGAAAGAGGGAATTGGAAAAGCTTAAACTTGAGCATAAAGTGCTTCAAAGCAAGGTCGGAAAGCTTATTTTCTAATCTTTATTTGAACCAATATGTGTGTGTGCTGCATTGATCTTATTGCTTCTCGTTCTAACTTACCGTTTCTATGTATTGTGCTCAGATTGTGTTCCGCAGCAATCCCTTAAAATTTAAGGCATTTAGGAAAGAATGCAAGGATTTCAATAAATCTGTGATGGCAGTGATGGATTTTACAAGCAATATTGATTCTAGAGAGTCGGAACAAGTTATTCTTCAAGTGTGCAACTGGCAGGTACGTTGGTACCGAGTGTGGAAAATTGTATCTAGGTCAGCTTTACCATTATCTTAATGCTGGTTCTCTTTTATCCTACAGAAAACAGCAAAGTCTTTTATTGAGCGGCTATCAGATGAATATAAAGAGTACATCGACCTAGCTCAACCAGTTCAGGTGGCACTATATGAAATGAAATTGGGCCTGTCATTAGTTTCTTCAGCTACCTTGAGTAAAGACTTACTGCGCAAGATCAATGAGGATAATCTGGAACTCCTTTTGGTACTAATGTGCTCTTATATTTTTTATCGTAAAATTAACAATTATTTTCATCTAGACTTTGTCTGCAACCTTATCACCAATTACTTATCTATACTACAGGATTCAATTTATTCATTTCTGAAATTTCCTCGAGGAGATGGTCTGGAGTCAATTTCTTCTATTGATCTCGGTATTCCTACAATTTCCTGGGACTTGAGAATAGATTTGCTGGAAAAACTTGCTTCCATCTCAAGGGATGCTGATGGCGGGAGAGTGGTATTTCTTTGCCGACGACACTGTTTCTTTTGATTGTTATTTCTCTTTGTTGTGCTACTGTTAACATGGTCTCCAACAAATGAAGGCATCAAATTTTCTCTTGAATTAATTCAGGTTGCCGATTGAACTTAATGTTGTGTGCTCATGCATTAAATGCTTGTTGAATTGAAACAGGTCTCTGTATTGCAACGCAAAGCTGCAATTTATCATAATGTTCTTCTGCGTGTGGTACACCTCCTAGCCGTGAGCCAAAGGATTGATGATGCTTCTTTCAAGGTGAGCTGTTTCTTGGAGCAATTAAACAGAAATGAGGTTTTGGTCTGGATGATAGTCATTTAACACACGTATCCGCGTCAGATGTTGGACAAATTGTTCAGGGGCTTTGCTATTATGTGGATGGATATGAAAGCTGAAGTCCAGGATAAAGAAGGGCTCGATGCTCAACAATACAAGTTCAAGCCCCGTGCGTTTGAGATCCAGAATGTTATTGATGCTGATGTGTCAATGCTAGCAAAATATTTCTCAAATGATAGCTTCTCGGAATTAAAGGAGCTGCTTTCTGAAGAAGATGAATCTTCGGAAAAGGTGATTTCATGTATAAATTGTTTCTTGCTTGTAAATTACACACACCTCCCTCTCTCTTCATCATCCTTTTTGCTTTTTCCTCTTGATTTTATTTAAATTCTTTGTCAACCCAGATACATACTAGCGAGGACCATGGAAGTTTGGAGGAAGAGTGGAACCTCATGCAGGCGCCTGTCCTTGACAGCATGATCCATTTCCATAACCAACTATTTGGATCTGTTGACCTTATTAGTTGTGTAAGTTAGACTATACTCTTTTATCTCTGGTTTTGAGTCCTCAACCATTTCATGCTATGTTATTGATGCTGTAGAAGTATTTCAGCTGCACGAGGTTTGAACCTTGAGGGTGATTTTTTAACTACCAATAAAGGGAATACTTATATTTTATTAAGTTGAGTTGAGCACTCAAAAGTAGGATCATAGATCTTTGATTGTAGAACATGTTTCTAAAACAGAGTGAAAGGGGGTTAGTGTGTATCACGGGCATGTACCCAAGAAATATCTTTTCGTGTTTTATTTGTCTGAAGTCTTATCATGCAAGGTTTCTTGTCGTTACGCGTGTGTTTGAACACGCCCATGCTCATATGATGATGATAGCACTTCTTAATTGTTTTTACTAATAATTGCTTGATTTTCAGTTAGGGACTTTCCACATATCAGATACGGATAAATGCACTTCATTCATCAACTCTTACGATCTGGGAGCAAGCATGATTAGAGGTAATTTGCTGATTTACTTCCTTATTGATGCATGTTTTCAATATCACATCTAACAGACTTTTATTTCATAATCTCCAGGCTTGGGAGGTTTGTTTAGTTCCTCCCTGGATGCTAAACTTATTCCAGAACACATGTTTCGCCTTTGTTTGGATCGTGAAAGCAAGTGCCCGTCCATTCATAGAACGTCTAGCAAGTACAAATATTACAAGGTTCTCTGAATTCTGTTTTTACATTTACTTCTGACAAATTTAGATCTCGTTTCCTTAGATGTTATCAGCATTCTTGTTATCATATGTCTTTTCTTTATTGATATTTATTAGACTTCGTATGTATGACTCATCTCAACTGTATCACTTGACTGGTCCAGGATTCAAATGCTCCTAATCTAGCTAAAATGGTGAAGCTGCTGAGTGCACTTCAAGATAAAGTTGTTTCACTCCTAAATCAGTGGGAGGACCACCCTGGTCTTCAAAAAATATTGGATGCAGTTCAGTCACTGTTGGTTATTCCTATGGAAACACCGTTGGCCAAGGTAGCAGTCAACCAACACTATGTTCCATGCAAATATGATCCTGGACACAAGCAACCATGATTGACATTGCCCTCTTCTTATGAGATTTATTCCTTATTTGCAGGCTCTTTTAGGATTACAACTACTTCTTCGTAGGGTTATTGCTTTGCAGGAGAATGGATCAAAACTTTGTCTCTCTGGTACCCAACTTAGTGAAAACTGTTCATTTTGTTTATCTCTGAAAGTCGCTGTTTAAATGAGCTGTCAATTGTTGTGGTTAACACGTAACATTATCATATTTCTTTTGAGTGCAGATGAACTGGAACCTTTAGTTGCTTTGGCGCGCTCGTGGCAAAAGATGGAAGTTGACTCATGGGCTGTGTTGTTGGACGAGGTGCAGGAGCAGTATGATACTAATGCTGCTAAGGTAAAGACCAGCGTTTTTTGTTTGGGATGTGTTGGTAGCTCTGAAAATCTATTTATGTTTGATTCTAATTTCATATCTTCAAATTCTTTCTGCAGTTGTGGTTTGCCCTGTCTTCAATTTTCCACCGGAGTCATGCTGGTGAAGTTGCTGTATACGAGCAAACAACAATAGAAAGGCAGGCTTATTTCGGTTGTGTAGATTTCAGTGGTGCAGTGAACTCCAAAATGAAATGTTGACTAAGATTGTTATATATTGCAGCATCGAAAATTTCGTCCAAACTTCGAGCCTTGGAGAACTCCAAAAGCGACTCCAGTTACTATTGGCTTTCTATGGCCAAATTAGTGTTGGGAGGTGTCTAGAAGTAGACAGTTATGCAAGGTGGTTAGTCCTGCCTTTTCATTGGTTCCTGTACCTTTCCATTCAAGTTTTACTTTGTAGGGTGGTTGATCACCAACTGGAATTTAGTATCTACCCAATATTGAGCTCTACTTTTTTGAAGAATTTTAATCATTGGCGATGTTTTACTGCTAAGCTTTGTAAATGCACTTGATTCTAATGACTGGACTGGGTTGTGCAGCTTGTTCCAGGAGAGTAACATGAAGATCTTATATAATGCCTTTGGATACTATGTTCAATTCTTGCCAAGGTTGAGTTTTTTCGCATTTTTCATCCGGACTCATTGCAAGTGTATTCCATGATATTCTTACCTGCTCTGCTTGCCTAAAATATTTGTGTTGCTGGCAGAATATTGGAGCACATAGGTGCTAGTAGAAGAAATATCGAGAAGGAACTGAAAGATCTCACCGGACTATGTAGATGGGAGAAGACAGAGTTAAGCTTGTCTATTGAACAATCAAAAAGAGCGAGGCAGAAAGTGAAGAAGTTAATACAGAAGTACACTGTGAGTACCAAACTCTGAATTGGCCGCCTAATTACTTTTGCTAGTAGGGTCATCTTCTGTCTTTGCTATGCTCCAAAGTCATTTTTATGCACTTAAAGGTTTGCCTAATTTCTTTTTTCAAATGGACAGGACATCTTGCAACAACCTTTCATGCTCTTTCTTACTCGAGAAGCGGAACAGAAAGCAAGTGCTGCTCAACCTGAGCTGAGTATAAATGATCTCAAGGAGAGTTCGGAAAAGGGTTCTGTGACATTAAATACGATAGCAGATGAGATAGAGTCCAGGATTGATCATCGGTATGTATTTGTCCGTTTCTTCTGATTCTTTGCCATACAATCATCAATTGGTGATCCTTCTGTTATCTTGTGTTCTAAAATAGGCACACTTGGTTCAGTGATTGGAGTCAGAAGGTTGAAGCTTCACTGCACTTACTTGTTAGCATGTCTTCGGAATATAACCTTTCAATGGATGCAGGTTTTTCTATTACACTTCTATTTCCCTTGTCCCTTGGCCTTTTATCGTTTTAGCAAGATATATGTATATATACGGCTTCAGTGCTAGAAACCTAAGAACTTAGAAACTTCTACAGATACGTGCAGTGCTTCTTACCTTTCCGTAGAGGAAGAATGGAATGCTGTGAATCGTACACTTGAGGAGATATGTTCTGCTACTTTTAATTATGATGTCCTGTGGAAGGATATGGAAAGAACCGTAGGTAAAAGGCGGGCATTCGATGATTTACTTAAGCTTCTAGAATCCAGTGGGTTGGATAAGCACAAATTCGAGAAGGTAATTGGAAACTCCTAATGGTGGGCATTATGTTATCATTAATTTATTTGAAGCATAATTAGATCCTTCTAGTTATGATTCCTTTTGTGGTCTTGTAATTGATGCTTGTAGGTCTCCTATAAATCGGATTGGCTGTTTGTCCAGCCATCATTCGATATCAAACATTTGCTGCTGACACATAGTAGACTGCCTTCGAGAGATTCTAATCTTTCTTCCTCTATGATATTGGAAAGTTCTCCCAATGGAAGTTTGGAGATTGAGTGGAAAGTAACAAATGAGTTCTACTTTAAAGGCATTGCAGCTGTGCAGCTCCTGCGGCAGATATGTCTGAATCCTCATCAAGATATCATCCTGGAGAAGGTTGGTAGACGGATTGTATATATAAACTCAAAATGAGCAGCACTATTATGTAAGGCCAGATATAGCATTAAAAGTAATATGGTGACTATCAAATCACCTATTAAAGTATTATGGTGACTTTTACTAGTGACCATTTATTTCTCATTATTCTTAACAGTCTCATTAGTGTTAGTGTATGGCTTATTTATCCAAAAGATATTTTCCCGTAACGGTTTGTGTTTAATCTTTGCAGGCTAGGCGGGTGGGCTCATTTCTCAATCATCTCATAACTATCCAACATGAACAGCGTCAGGCAGCATATGATCTCTCCAAGCAATTAAAGTGCCTGCAGAAGTGTGTGTCAACAATGGAAACATTATATTTAAAATCCCTGGATGTCAATGACCAAACTAGTGTGATGTCCTCCATTCCTGAAAACCAGCGTGCAATCTGTAGTTGCATGTGGAAACAGAAGGCAAGTTGCATGAAGTGATATCTTCAAAATTATGTCTTTTATTTCTAAAGGATTTTGGATAGTTATATGTTGTATTCTTTCACCATTTTGCAGGAACTATTGGATGCTCTGAGCTCCATGTTGATAGAGGAATCATTATTGCTTGAAACTCTGGAAACTGCTCACCTTCAATCTTGTGAAGAAGTGAAGCCTGCAGCAAATCATGTGCTTCAGGTCTTGGACAAGTTCATTCCACTGATCAAGAAGTCCAAGGTACTAAAAAGTTATCTTCTCGTGTTTCCCATCTTCTTTGAAGCAGGTTGCAGGTTGCATGTTGTGGGTGTCTCATGTTTTACTATCTAACAGGAAACACTAGACAAGTATCTTTTGTCCCATGGCGGGATGGTGCAAATCGTTGTGGAGGGATCATTGGATAAATATATTCTTGGTCAAGTTGGTCATATATCTGAGGCTGGGCCTTTCTATCCTTATGTTGTATCTGGACAAATGACACAATCTCTCTTCACAAATTTCCAAGTCATTAGAGAGTTTGAAAACCATCTCCTTGATCTCCGCAAGCAAGGTTTAAGTAAAACGGAAGTCATAGAGACCTTGCTTTCTCACTTTAATGGTGTCTTTGAGAAGGTATTTTCTACTTTCCTTACAGGTTACTTTGACTTGAAGTCGAATACTACTAGTTTTAGTTAGCGTATTGACAAGATGCTGGGACTTAAAACCATTATTACAGGGGAAGTTGTTGGCTGAGGAGCTTGACCGCTCACTAAAGACTAGGGACGATTCAGTGAACATATCTGAAGCGTCTACTTCTTCTGAGCTCAACACTTTCTGGCAGTCCTTCGAACGAACGCTACAGCTAGCCAACAGTGCGATGACAAAGCAACAGTCTCTAAGCGATGGACATGTTATTTCCGAAGAGTCTATTGGGAGCATTACATCATGGGAATCTTTATTTAGATCATCCGTGGAAAATCTCAATTTGCCAGATCTATGTAAAAGTCTTCTACAAACCATTTGCAACAGCGTAAGTTTTGTATCTTTGCCTCACTTGAGAGTTTGTGTTGATAATCTTGGTAGTTTGGTCTGTATCTTATTTAATGTGGTCTTTGCATAGCAAAATCTGCTTAGCCAATCTGGTGGTACTTCTCGCTTGGGACGGTGTTTTGAGCAATTACACACAATTATGGATGTGGTCTTGAGTCTTGGTGACACGTTGCTTTCGGATCTTGTGGGGATGAACAGAACTGTGAGTTTTTACTTTTCCAAGTGTCGTTTCTTGCAATTATGTACTAATAGTCATGTTAATAGCAGTTTGTAACCCATGTTCTGCATTGTTTTATAGGTGTCCATAATGACTCGGGAATTGGCAGATGTTCTCGCTTCATTATTCTCCAAAGGCTTCCGTACCCCTTCGAAGGATGAGGTTGATGAGAATGGCGCTTCTCAAGATGTTAGTGGAACTGGCTTGGGAGAAGGTACAGGACGTAATGATGTCAGTGATGAGATAACTGACGAGGACCAATTGCTTGGAACGAAAGAAAAGGTGCAGCCTTTTCTGTTCCTTAACTTTGACCTCATTATTTCCTTGAAATGGTTGACTAGCGTGTTTACTTTTTTCATGTATTTAATCCAAACTCTAGCAGGAGGAAGACCAAAATGGCAGTGGTGAAGTTCCTAATAAGAATGAGAAAGGGATAGAGATGGAGGAGGACTTTGCTGCGGACACATTTAGTGTCAGTGAAGACTCTGGAGAAGAAGAGGAGAACGACGACAACGAGGAAGAAAAGCTGGACTCTGCAGTTGGAGATGCTGGACCGGACAGTGAGGCGGTCGATGAGAAGCTTTGGGACAATGAGGGAGACGAAAATCCTGAGGACAAGAAGGAAAAGTACGAAGCTGGGTCATCTGTCAAGGATAAAGATATGAGCAATAGAGAACTCAGAGGCAAGGATGATTCTACAGATATTCCAAACGAGGAATCCAAAGAGCTGAATGGTGATGATCTCAATAACGAGAAAGATGATGAGGGTGATGTGGATGAATCTGGTGATGGGGAAGAGAATGTGGAGGATATGAACTTGGATAAGGATGAAGCACATGCTGATCCTACTGGGCTTAACGTTGATGATGACGTGGATCGACCTGACGAGGAGGAGATGGAGGTAGATGAGAACTCAAATGAGACAAAAGACATGAGTTCTGGTGAAGAAGAAGGTTCGGAGAATGGCGAGGAGGATAAAACAGAGAGTGGAGATGACGAGACTATGCAAGATGCAGATGCTGGACAGTCCGCTGGGGCTCCTGAAGAAAAGCTGGAGCATGGTGCTGATGCCGAAGACAACTCTGCTGAGATGAATGCACAGAGTAAGGACGAGCTTGTACCTGGAATGCCGGACCTTAACGGCGAGCAAGCGCCCAATGCAGAATCCGCAACTCAACCGAATGGGGAAGTTCAGGCATCAGATTCTAGGAGTGTGCCTACTGAGGCGAACGTTTACAGCTCTAATGCCAATGTTGCTCCATTGAGGAACGTGCCTTCCGGTGCTAACTCCAACATGGAGATCATGGTCTCTGACCCATCAGATAAGGGGCAGCTAAACGGGGATCAGAACAACGCCCAACCGCCTGAGGAAGAGTCTTCGTCGTTTAAGAAATCCCAACCCAATCCTTATAGGAGCATTGGAGATGCGTTTGAGAAATGGAAGGAACGGGCGAAAGTGTCAACTGATGATATAGCTTCAGAGGCTCCCCCTGTTGAGATGGAGGATAAGAATGCCAACGAGTATGCTTACGTGTCAGAGGCGGAGAGAGGGATGGAACAATCATTAGGACCTGCGACTCCTGATCAGGTTGATGCCAACATCTCGGGGAATAAGCAGGAGGATAGTTCTGCTGCAGGTCAAGAGGAGGAAGATGGCACAAATGAGACTGAAATTGATAGGAATCTTAAACCTTCCTCGGCGGCTGTGTTGAAAGATAAGATGGAGCAGCATTTGCAGGTTTCAGAGGTTGGAAAGTCGAAACAAGCAGAGGAAGATGTTGAGATGCCAGATTATAATACGCACACCGAAGTGGGAAGTTCATTGCAGAATCTGGTCTCGGTCAGGAATCCGGCAGCGCTGAGTGATGGTGTCAGTCGTTTTGATGAGCTGGCGATTGGTGATGACAGTGAGTTGGGGAAAGCGGTGGATGGAGATGCTGTGAATTTAAATATCAGGGAAGGTACTGGTGATGCGTGGAGGAGGTATGAATTGCGTACTACAAGGTTGTTTCAGGAGTTGGCTGAGCAGTTACGTCTTGTTCTGGAGCCCACGGTGGCCAGCAAGCTTCAAGGCGACTATAAGACCGGGAAACGAATCAACATGAAGAAGGTAATTTATCATCTTAAGCAATTGCAAAACTATGCAGGTGCAGTTCTGTTGGGCTGTTTATTGTTTCTCTTTCTAACTCTTTCCTGCAACTGAGTTCAGGTGATTCCATATATTGCAAGCCACTACCGTAAAGACAAGATTTGGCTGAGACGGACTAGACCTAACAAGCGTGATTACCAAGTTGTTATTGCGGTGGATGACTCGCGTAGTATGTCAGAGAGTCGCTGTGGGGATGTTGCAGTTGAAGCTCTGGTTACAGTATGCCGTGCCATGTCTCAACTTGAATTGGGCAACTTTGCTGTCTCAAGCTTTGGAAAGAAGGGGAACATCAGGTTGCTGCACGACTTTGAAAGGCCATTTACTGGAGAGGCAGGGCAAAAAATAATTTCCAGTTTGACGTTTAGCCAAGAGAATACCATCATCGATGAACCAGTTGTGGATCTGTTGAAGTACCTAAGCAACTTGCTAGACACTGCAGTTGCGAGGGCTAGGCTTCCTTCTGGACAAAACCCACTGGAGCAGCTTGTCTTGATTATTGCAGATGGTCGGTTTCATGAAAAGGTACAATTCCTTTTAAGCTTAGTACACACTGAACTCTCAGCATCCATTTCACGATAGCTTATGGAATAGTTGTCCAATCCTGTAAACAGGAGAAATTGAAGCGCTGCGTCAGAGACTTCTTAAGTCAGAAGCGAATGGTTGCATTTCTGCTGTTGGACAATCCTGAAGAATCTGTCGTTGATCAATTGGTAAGTGCTTCTACTTTTCGTATTGAAGATGCTAAACTAGTCCTTTGCTTGTGGTAGAAGAATGAATCCATCTGATGCTCTGACATTCTGTCCCTCAATTTTATGGTTATCAGGTGGCGACGTTCGTGGATGAAGGCGACAAGAGTGGGCTCAAGATGGCAAAGTACATGGATTCTTTCCCTTTCCCATACTACATTGTGCTGAGAGACATCGAAGCTCTTCCAAGAACCCTCGCAGATCTACTAAGACAGGTACATCAACAAATCCGCGCGAAAAGATGGTTCCTCTTTTTTCTACTTGAGCTAATTTGTGTTCAAAGTTGCCTTGTACTTCAAGAAATGTGCGCGGACTGACTTTCTTGTCAATGGTTTACTTTGGATGTTGCAGTGGTTCGAGATTATGCAGTCCTTCAAGGAGTAGATTGTTCGTGGGGGTCTAGATGTTTCTCAGCTGGTGGGAATTGCGAAGGGAGGTCTTTGGTTATAAAGTATATAGGGCACCTTCTCTTCTTTCATTCTTTATCGCTGATATCGAGTGTAATTAGGCAGCCAATCGTAAGATAAACTTGTATGGTTTGCCTTTTTTGGTAGTGTAAATATTCCTACATTCTAAATGAGTAACGGATTCCCTCTCCTTCAGCGAGGAAGTTTTGCTTCACTTTCAAATGAGTGCTTTCGCGAACCCCATGAGAGACGGGAGGTGGGATCAGCCGTACAGGTCATCTTGTCCTTAGATTTAAACACATTAAGACTAACCTCAACCATAAAGTTAAATTTGGCTCTCCCAATATTCAAATATGGCTTTTTAGCTTACCAAATCACATTTTCACTCCAACCCTACAAATCCTATTTTCACTCTAGCACTACAGAAAGCTAAATTTAGCTTCCTATCTTCCTTTTTTCAATTTATTTCAATAAACCATACTTATTTGATCTCTGATTTTTATATTTCTTTAATTTTTTTGGGTAAATGCCCAAAAATAGCCAATGCTGAAGGGTATCTGATACATCCTCCAATAACAAGAGCAATGCTGGGTCGGCCTAAGAAGAAAAGAAGCCGGTGAACTTGAGGCATGAGTTGAAAGAACTGGTTCTGGTGTGGCGATGAGAAGAGATGGTATAGTGATGCATTGTAAAAAATGCAAGAAAGGGAGACATAACTCAAGAACATGTCCAAATCCACCAGCTACATAAGCTGGCCAAGGTGGAGAACCGCTGAGAGGGCAGCGGGGTGGGTGTGCGCGAGGCAGTGGGCTGCGAGGTGGCCGCGCACGAGGAAGTGGACAAGAAGGGTCAAATACAGAGGTCACTGCTCAAAAATGTCAACAAGATGGTCACAATGCAAGGAGTTGCCCTTCAAATGCAGGAATTCAAGTAAGTGTCTTGCTTTGAAAGAATGTGACTTTATCATTTGTGAAAAGAATGCTGCTAAAAAATTTACCTTCTGCAGACAAAATTAGTGGCGTCACCATATGGAAACAGAAGTTCATCTCTATTTTTTTTTTTAACTCTTATCACACTGTATCCTTTACAGCTTAATGGTGCTAATGGAGCTGAAGCATCTGCAGCATTTGTTAGGAGCCAAGTGCCTACTAATAGAGATTGACACCGTGCAAGTGCCTGCAACTCAACCACTAGAGTATGGACTCTTTAGCAAAATTTGCAGCTTAATTAGTAGACACTAATTAGAAAAACAGAATTTAGTTTCATCGATATGCCTGGATTGTCTTTTGTTTTGCCGAAGCAACTATTGTTTTGTCTTTTGTACAAGCTCATTCTGGATAATTTCCAGTACACAATATGGAAATACTTCTCCAGGTGCATGAATGTATGTTTGCGTTGTGATCTTATTCAGGCCCGGCCCAGGCCCTGTGCTGGCCTGACCCACAGCACAGGGCCTCAAATTATTTAGGGCCTCGGCCCATACACTACTATGCTTCTACTTGCTGCTTGGACAATGTCGCTGAGTGGAATCATGGAATTGAGTACATGAGAAGTAATTCGGCCGCGTGGATGGTTTTCAAAAGATGGCCTGTGGCAAATGGAAGAGGCCAGCAAATATGAATGGCCAAATGGGCCTTTAACTCTTTATTGTTAACTTTTTTTTTTTTTTTTTTTTGCTTAGGTTGAGTAGCCCATCCATTATAACCAAATTTTGGTTTTTTCTTCAGGGATTTTGCTTGAGAAATTTGGATTAGTGTTAGTTGATTGTCGAGTGATCTTTGTCGAGTGGAATCATTAATCTTTGGTAACAATTTTTAATTATGTCAATTGAGACTTAACGGGTTAGTTATGTTGACAATTGAGAATAACGTCTTGGATGTTGTAAAGATGAAAGAGCCAATAGAGGATTTTATTTGAAATAAATACTAAACAAATTTTACTTTTCAAACAATGATTGATAATATTATTCATTTTTAATCATTTTATGAAATTATGTATTTTTTTATTATTTAATAAATTTGTGGGAAAAAAATTTTAGGCCACATTTTTTATTTTCGAACAGGGCCTCCAAATACCATGGGACGGTCCTGATCTTATTCTCCTTGACCTTGAGAAGTTGTCAATTTAATTACTTAGTTATAATGATTCTGATTGTTAACAGAGCTGAAAAATTAGCTACTTCGTCACCTATAGTACATACTTAATGCTTCAATTAATTTAAAATACATCTTTTTTGCTTTACCCATTATTAAAAGAAAAAATATAAAAATTACGGTTTTCTAATTTGAAAAAAGGCTGACGTGGACTAAAGCTGACATGGATAATGATGTGTCAGCCACGTCATCATAGTTAACTGTGAATTAACGATGGCTAAGAATTGTCTAACATAATCAAAGTTTTGGCTATTTTATTGCATTTTAAATAGTTTTGGCTATTTATGTCCAAAAGTTAAAAGGTTTGGCTATTTTATGGCATTTACCCATTTTTTTATAGTTAGTCATTACTTTTGGGGAAAAAAATTTGATGTATTTTTTTTAATTCTGAGACAAAAAAGTTTCGGAAAATCAATCATTATTTTGTTACCATTAACTTCCGTACCAATGAGAAAATACCAATTAACATACAACATTCCATATCTTCTTTCAAACAATTAAACAAACAACATACACAATCAACCAATGACAAAATACCACACAAAAAAAGCAAAAAGAAAAATAAACACAGTAAACCAATGAGAAAATTCCACCGAAAAAAGCAAAATATAAAAATAAAGGAGGACCGGCCGCGGGTTCACCATTTCCTCTAGCCAAATTTGGCTTTTCCACCCATTTGGAAGGTGACCAGATCAGGTCAGTATCCTTGCTATCAGTAACTGTCAGTAATCCAATCATGTGTCCCCACGTGTCAGCTTTTTCTTTTTATTTAAATTAAACACGGAGGGGCACTAAGGTAAAATTGCACCCCCTATTTAATGATGTCTCTGACACGCTGATGCTGACGCGACGCGGATCCCACTCCCCACCCCACACTGGTTGTCTGGTTCCCCCTTTCTCTCACTCTTTGTTTTATTTTATTATTAAAAGAAAAAATATATCATTTCTTCTCTCTCCCATCTACAACAAAAATGAATCTAACCATCCTAACTATCTCTAAACTAATTCCAGCTCAAATTGAATGATGATTTTTTCGTTAAATAATACATTGTTAAAGACACTAATTACAAGTATAAATATGATTATCACTTTCTACTATCATGGTAAAATATGGTAAAATATGTTGAAGAAAATTACAATTCTAACTACCATACAATACCACATGGTAAAACGTGGTAAAACATGGTAAAATATGTTGAAGAAAATTAAAAATCTAACTACCATATAATACCACATGGTATAACGTGGTAAAACATGCTGCCGACCAAAATAGGCTTCAGACATCTTGGTTATCGGTTAACCGCACCTCCTCCAAGATCAAAACCATCTCGTCCAGCCTTCGACAACCGACCGAATTTCGGTTATATCGGTTACCAGATAGTGGATAATAAACATACAAACTATGCAAATTACATTTGCAGACCATACTAACTAAATTTACAAACAATACAAACATACAAAATGGATATACAAACAACACAAAACATACAAAATGGAAAACAACATGGTTAACTTTTGAGCTTCGTCCCTATATAGAGGAATTTCGTACCAAAGTCAATCAGGTTATCTTTTAGTCATATAAACATTACAAACATGTTAGACAAAAATGACGAAGCATACACACATTACAAACAAAATCGACAAACGTTACCAAAATGACAGCCTACAAACATTAAAAAAAGAAATTGACAAACATTACAAAATATACTAATCGTACAAAATACCAATACCTACAATAAAAATCAGTAAACTTGTATTACAAACCAATATATGCAAAGTATACAGATAATGAAATAAAGTGTACAAACTAAACAAAAAAATATTACAAATTACGATATATACAAATTAGTTACATACATGACAAACTAGAATGATAAACGATATAAACCGAATTGATATAATCTTTACAAATGGTACTTAGAAACATTACATAACAGTTAGACAAACATCACAAATTCGGTGTTGCCGCCAGAAAATCCTCCGCGGACGTCAGAAATATCTCTCTTTCTCCATTAAATTAGACCCATTTGGAACCATTTTATTTAAATGAGGTTGAAAGGTTGAAATTCACTTAGTCATATGATCCTATCCTTGAGAGATGGTGCCATCGAGCCAAGCCAGTTGGCTTGAGAGTTGAGCCAGTGCAGCTTCAAACTCGAAGAAGCCCAAAAATTACATATATGAAAACCCCATATTGTCATCTTCCTCTGTGAACGAGGATTCTCCGTCGTCTTCATTCTTGAAATCTGTTTCGCGGTTTTAAGGAAAAAGGAGGAAGGGTTGAAGAGTGTTGGGTTCGTCGAGAAGAAGGAAAGAGGAAGGATTAGAGTTGGAACAACAAACACAAAAATAGTGAAAAATTTCAAAATAGTTGCCCTGCTAGCTGAAATCCTTGAAGGGTAGGTTTTCAAAATTTTCGATAGTTAAAATCCATCAATTTTTTCTTAGCCTTCCCAAATGTAAAAATATATTGAAATTCATGAAGGATAGGGATTGTAGCAAAATCATTCCCAAATTTCCTAATTCAAACAATCACTTAAACAGTTTGGCAAATACCAAAGTGGGTAGGGGTGGTAAAGTTTGGCCGATTATCGGTTAAAATCGATAATCGAACTGATAAAGATGGTTAGTGGCTAACTGATAATTTATTAGAGATTCAGTTTCAGTTAGCTGTATTTTGCTTAGTGGTTAACCGCTATGTGACTAATCGGTTAGTGGTTAATCGATAAATGCGTACTAGTAAAACCTACTTCCAAAATAAATTACAAGTAAAACCACATAATTTTATGTTTTGGCTTATGAGAAAAGTTTCATAATTCAAAACCAACCACTTTCGCAATTCCAAACATCTCAATTCTCACCTATTGTAAACAACCCTCCACCCAAAATCTCAATTTTGTTTTGAGTTAGAATCGGAAAGTCACCCCTCTCTGATTCCCCTTTGTAGTCGACAGAGTAACATTGCCACCCTAGTGATCTTTGATTCTTTGATTTTTGTAAATGATGGTGATCTTATGGTGCTTTTGTTTGATGACTTGATAGTTTGTATCCGCTAAGTGGATAAAGATGTTTGATTATTTAATTTTATTCGTTGGAATTGGATTATGAATTCACAATGAATATTGTATTATATTGATGTTATTTCTTACGTTAACGACGTAGAAATGTAGTTACATGTTTTTAAATTATTCATATGATTATTAAAAAAATGACATCGTACAAAATTTCAAAATAACAATCACATGTGTATGTTGTTATTGGTTAGTGATTAACCGCCAAAATAACCACCAACCAAACCGATAACAAGCAATTAACCAAAAAGTCTTATCAATTCAATTTTTATATGCTTAGTGATTAACCCAAACCAAACCGATTAACGTTTCAATCTACGGGCCTATATTTTCTTCTTCTAGTTCAGTTAGTAGATTACTCTTGTTGGTCCAATATATTGGCCCAGCTCAAACGGAGCCCAGGCATTCTCTCCCCAAAATTTGGTCCGACGTCATACGTGGGTCCCGCCATCATCAACATTCAGTTTGTCCTTTCTTGTGGATTCCACTGAACGACTGTCGTCTTTCTTCTGATGGCTCCAAAAACAAAAACAAAAAAAGTTCCACCAATTTCTCCCCTCCCTTTACCTCCGTCTACCGCACCACGGCCAAGCCAAATGCGAATTTAAAAACACTGAACGAGAATTCCCACAACTAACCAGCATTCCCTCCGGAGCGCAATCAACCAGAGTTCCGCACCCGAACACCATCGGACGTCCGGTCATGTGGCGACGAAGCTTCAGCACCGGCGCGGCCGCCTCTCGCGCACTAACCGGTAAGAAATTTGACGCTCTGGTGATCGGAGGCGGCCACAACGGCTTGACTGCCGCTGCCTACCTTGCTCGAGCAGGCCTCTCCGTCGCCGTGCTGGAGCGCCGTCACGTGCTCGGCGGCGCCGCCGTTACGGAAGAGATCATTCCAGGATTTAAATTCTCTCGCTGCAGTTACCTCCAGAGCCTCCTCCGGCCTTCCGTCATCAAGTAATCGCCGAAATTGTCAACTCCTCTCTCATTTTGCCATGTACTAGATGATATTTTTTGTTAGCTGAAAGTATCGAATCGTTTGCGATTGAGAGCAGAGAGTTGGAGCTGAAGAGACATGGATTGAAGTTGCTACGAAGAAGCCCGTCATCGTTCACGCCTTGTGTGGATGGACGCTATCTTCTGTTGGGACCTGATAAGGAGCTCAATCGCTCTGAAATCTCCAAGTTCTCTAGTCGCGACGCGGAAGCTTATCCAAGGTGCCAACGGTGTCCCTCTTTTTGCCCTCCAGTTTGAAACTAATTGAGAAACACAAGTCCTTTATCGATTGCTGATATGCAGATATGAGAGCCAACTTGAAAGGTTCTGTGAGTTCATGGATCCACTCTTGGACGCACCTCCTCCAGAATCTCTGCAGAATACTTCATCAATCGCTGATCGATTGAAGGACAAATTGCACAAATCCGCTTACTGGACTCGTTTCTTGCGGAGCGGTCTCTCCTTGGGGCAAAAGGATTTAGTGTAAGATCAGATCACTTTCACTGTTTTGCCTCTCGTCTAGTTAGCTTGAATAAGTTGATTATGATGCTTGATATGTGCTTCGAATTCGACAGCGATTTCATGGACCTGCTGCTGGCCCCGGCTTCAAAAGTTCTAAATAACTGGTTTGAGGTAATCAGAATGTTTATTTTGTGCTCAACGTTCATCCATCCTGAGTTTAGTAATTATGCTGAACACTTGACGATAAGATACTATTAGTCTTTATCGGCTTGTTGACTTTCTGCCACTTCATTTTAGGCTGAGGTTCTAAAGGCGACTTTGGGAACGGATGCTATTATAGGTACTACGGTAAGACTCCACCAACGTGGAGATGTATTTAGATTAATATTGAAGAGAATCCTCATTAGACCTGTTATTGTTGACCAATTGAAGCATTTGGAGTTGTATGTTGCAGGGTAGTGTCCACACACCAGGAAGTGGATATGTTCTGCTACATCATGTGATGGGAGAGACCGATGGGGATCGTGGAGTTTGGTCGTATGTATTGTAGTTGGTTATTCGACCAATGACTGCTTCGATCAGTTTCAATGAAAGATACTAAAAAAAACTTACCTCCTTATTGTAGGTATGTTGAAGGAGGAATGGGTTCAGTATCCCTTGCTATAAGTAAAGCTGCTAAGGAAGCTGGCGCTCATATTTTGACAAATGCAGAGGTAACATTTTGTGGAATATGATAGTGACATGAGTCCTCGACTTCAATGTTTATGAATAACTATGTCTTGATACTTCTTTCCCTTTTGCTGGATGAGTGGTTAGCTATTCTTCTAGCACAATATTTTGTGCTTAAAGCTGGAGTGAAAGCAGAGTTAGTGTGTTACGAGAGAACTTACTGCTCTCTTTCTTTTTGGCATAGGTTTCACAATTAATCGTCAACGACTCTGGTGCAACTAGTGGGGTTTGTTTCAATTTTGGACCTGTTAATGAATTGGCTCAAGGGAAGGATTTCAAAACTAATTGGAGAGATGTTGAATGTTGGTGTTATTTAGGTGGTGCTGGCTGATGGTACAGAAATACTCTCTTCAATGGTTCTTTCAAATGCTACGCCTTACAAGACCTTCATGGTATAAGCCTTTCGCTCATCAACATCTGTTATAATTATTTAGTTGAAGGAAATAGTTACCTAATTGTCACTTTTTGGGTGAGTAGGTTATTACAATATGTTATGCTTTTTTTATCCCAGGAATTAGTGCCCAACAATGTTCTTCCAGATGAATTTACCAGTAATTTGAAGCATTCTGACTATAGCTCTGTAAGCATACCACTTGGGTAATTTTAGGTTGTTCTGGAGGCTTGTATATTCCTGCCTTTTTTATTTGGACTCTCTTATTTGGTGTTCCCACAAACTGATAAGGCAACTACAAAAATAAACCTGGCTGTTGATGAACTACCCAAGTTTGAAAGTTGCAAGTTGAGCCATCCTGATGCAGGGCCTCAACATATGGGCACTATTCATATTGGTTCAGAGAGGTATGATATTTGCTTGAGAATTATTAGTCTTCATCCTTGTGTTATCCCAGTACAAAATCCTTATGAAGTTTAACCTACAGGGAGAATGGATAGGAAGATTAGTAATTTAGATTCATCCTTTAGGCCTTCATTTAAAGCCCATATTGAGAGGATTATCGATGTTTTTTGTTTTTTTCTGCTTTGATCAGAATGGAAGAGATAGATTCAGCCTGCCAGGATGCTGTGAATGGAATACCATCCAGAAGACCAGTTATTGAGATGACAATTCCTTCTGTTCTAGACAAAACCATTTCTCCTCCTGGTATAAATTCATCCTTCTGTATCTTCGCTGCTGTTGACAATACTAATCCTAAAAACGATGACAGAAGGATAAACAACTCCTAGATTGACACGAGGTTGACCTGAGTTTACTCTTTCTCTGCAGGTAAACACGTCATCAACTTATTCGTACAATACACCCCCTATAAGCCATCAGATGGAAGCTGGTCAGATCCTGCTTACCGGGTACATTACAGAACTATCCGTTGTCCAACTAAGTACTCGTAGCTTTTTGTTTTGGTCAAATAAAATAGCTTAGCAGTGGCTATCAGTATCCGGTTACCTGTTAACTGAACCAGTTATGCTTGTTAAATGGCTAACTGGTAACTGGATCAGTAGCCACCTCGATAAAAGCCGCTTGAATTGTGGGGATTAAGCTGAGTTCCACTGATCTGAGAATACAATCTTTTCTCTGGTTTGAGCAGGAGTCTTTTGCACAAAGATGCTTCAGCTTGATCGACGAATTTGCACCTGGCTTCAGCTCATCAATAATCGGCTATGACATGTTGACACCACCTGATCTCGAAAGAGAAATCGGTCTGACAGGTAAAAACCATTAACCAACATCAGATTATCATTACGTGGGATCACACCTAACCAAGAAAATGTTTTTGTAACAGGGGGTAACATATTTCACGGAGCAATGGGGTTGGATTCTCTCTTCCTTATGCGACCGGTGAAAGGATGGTGAGTGAGGCCCTTTCCCTTTTTTGTGTTGTCATGCAAGTTGTTTAGATTCAGACTGTAGTCTTATAACTGTGGGGTGTTGTTACGTATAGGTCAAGCTACAGAACTCCTGTCCAGGGCTTGTACCTATGCGGCAGTGGAACCCACCCAGGCGGCGGCGTGATGGGGGCACCTGGACGTAACGCCGCCAACGTCGTTCTTCAGGACTTCAAGAGACGATGAAAGAAACGGAATTCCTCCGTTCTCGTACAAGGAATTCCTCCTTCCAAAATGCCCTTTCCAGTGTTGCATTTACAGTTCCAGAATCCAAGACTTCAACGGAAGAACTGTGGTTCTATATCTCCCCTCTTGTGTACGGTCGTGAGGATTCTCCTGTTGCTTTGAGTGGAAATTACTCTGGAATTTGAACATCGCCTCAATTTACGTACTATGAGTGAAGTCGTCCAAAGAACATAACCTATTTCGCACCTTGTGTAACATCACAATGCAGGCTAAGTACAGGGCCAGCTGTATAGGATAAGTTAACTCACTCATGAACATGTAAAACACAAACCAAAACCAAGCCATGGAATAGCAGTAAATTAACTAACGGGGATAACAAGCTCAACGGTTGAGGGCAGTCTAGATTTCAACATCTGAATGCACTCGACTGCAACTTCAGCTTGCACTCTCGGGGCTTTAAATATGCGTCCAGTACTAGTGCATGTGCGACTATCGAGAATCAATTTCTCAAGCGTCACAAAGTTCCGCAGCGCATAGTCCAGGAACCAACGCCCTGTATGGGTAGCTGCGCTACCAGCAAACCCGCTAACCTCCACCACTTTGATGCTCTCCCTGTGCATCTCCTCCATCTCACTCCCACCCCAAATGCGGCAGGAGCTATCCTTTTCTTCGTCGGTGTCCATCTGCATTACATACAGTTTACCAGGTTTGACATTACATTTTCAACTTCTTGCAACATCATAACCAGCGCATTTGAAAATGTGTACTAGAAAAAGAGTAAAACTGAAGAACCAAACTTATCAGAACATGAGATAAACTAACAAGTTCAAACTTCATAATTGATTGATGATGAATTGAGGTAAAATGAGATAGCATACCCGAACCGACAGTTGGTACAATGAAGGACAAGCATTTATCACGGGGAGCAGACCACGAATCTCGTTCCTATCGGAACCGAGCACATAAACAGTCAGCTGCTTAAGAGACGTCAACTCCTCAATCGACCTGGGAAACTTGGCTTTACGCTGCACCAATAGAAAGACTTCATTCAGATCACATCATAGTAATTATTTATAAGAGGGGGTTCAGTCATATTATGATGATGATTATTAACTTACCGCGTCAAACATAAAAGTGAGGGTCTCCAGCCGTGCAAACTTTGCTCGAGGAAGGAAAACAGGACCTGGATCAATCATGTTGTACAAGTCCAATCCGGTAAGCGACGATATATTTTCCATTCGAAGATTAATGCCATCTGGAAACCGACCATCCAACTTGAAGTAGGTGAGATTAGGCGCATCGATTTCAATCTCCTTTAGATTCTTACAATGGGCTACTTCCAAGTGCTTCAACGGCAGTGGTGACGACAAGCCAGCAGCAACTTTAAACCTTACTAAACCATGGGAATGTTGGACGGCTAACTTCTCCAGTAGAGGACAATTGCAAAGGAAATGCTCAAGGATCTCATCGCTCACATCAACGAAAGCCAAACACAAGGACTGAAGGAACCGAATATCCGATAAACCCTCAGAGGTTTTCATATGTTTGAAACAGCGTTCCGAGAAAATATAGCACCCTGAAGCATCCCAACTTGCATCACCATACCGTTCAAAGTCCAGCTTGAGCTTCTGAACTCTTTTTGAGATTGCAAAGTCCAACCACCTATCGATGTCACCATTTGCATTGGATTCATTATGAATGTTGAAACAGACGTGAAAGTTGTTCACTTTCCGACCCTGGTAGTGTGTCAAGACCCTATTAACCCATTCAATGTACCTCCTCCTTCCGAAAAGCACGGGCTCCATATCCCCCGAATTCCAATAATTTTCCCAGATGCACTGCCTCACCTTTGGAACATCGAAGTCCAAGTTTGGAACAAATTTCCACAAATCAACCCAAGTCCCGGAGAGGATTGATGTCCTAGCTGCTTCTTTTAAGGTCAGGCGGGACAGAATCTCCACAAGAAGCGCATGGGGCAATGTGCTAATATGATCCATGGAAATAGCTTCCTCTTTAACCTATATGCACAGTAGAAATAGACAGCCAATGAGCACAGGAAACCTCAACAAAGCTTTTGCTTTACACAAGGAAACGGGACGGTAATTATCATGATGGAAAACAGAAGCAGCAGATCCATACCTTCTCCGAGCTACAAACGTTGTTGGGTGGATCAAATCTGTACATCAGAGCACGGTTTGATGGAGGCATCCTTGGACAAGAAACTGAGAACCACACCACGCAAGATGATATGAAAAGCCAGAAACTTTCAACAAGAATCGCTCCGATTTCCACCTACAAATTAAATCAACGGGTAAGAGACACAGAACCTTAAGCAAACAAGAGAAGGCATCAGTTTCCTTTACTACAAGGAAGAAGAAATAAACAAAACAGAAGGAATGAATGAATGAATGTCGGATACAATTCTGTTTGAACTTAAAACAGTCCCTCCAGAAGGAAGGAGCTGGAGACAGGGACTCCAGAGCCACAGTAAAGACAAGTGCTTTATCCTCCAAATCGAATACAATGATGCAAGAAAGCAGTGAAATTTCTCAAGGAAAGACTCGCAGAAAGACTTGCCTCTCGCTGACCCGAGCCGCTAAATCCTTCGATGGAGCAGATCCCGCAGTCCCTCACTTAGATAAAATATAGGAACTCGTAGGGCGGTAGAGTTGAATGGTTACGGTTTGTGAATATGCTTTTTTCCATATCTTATCTGGAGAAGGATTTGCTCTCACTACCGCCGCCGCCCGCCCGCCTAGCTCTGTGTTTTCAACTTTCCCTCTCTCCTCTGCCATCTCCCTAGATTTGTCATGTATGATACAAACCTGCTTCGGAGTTCATAGATTAGAAGGTCTACTGGCTGAATCGCCAAAATCAGACTCAGGCTAACAAGTTAATTAAGAGGACGCCATTAACCCATTGGACTGCTGATTCCAGCCCACATTTAAATGGACTAGACCATGGGCTATTTCATTATCCATCCACCAATTTCCAGCCCACGATCTGACCGACAGCTTCAATTTGTCTATGGTAATTAGGGATGGTAATGGGGCGAGTTTTGTCAAACTCAAACTCAACCTTATTGTTTATTTGTAAAATAATTCGGGGTAAAATTTAATGGGTTAGGAAAACTCAAATCCAACCCAACTCATTGGGTATCTATGGGTGCATGGGTACCTATGGATTTTTGTGGTAAAAGATTTACAATAACAAGTGTCTATTAAAATAAAAGTAAAACATCAATTTCTCCATACAAATTATCCATACATAAAACATCGGTCCAAAAAATTCAAACAAATCACAAATTATCCATACAAATTGTTAATTAGATCGGGAAAAATTAGAATTAGGGTAGGGTTTGGAGAGAGTAGGCGACAGAATATGTGTGAGCGGGTATTCATGGGTCGGGTACCTCTAAACCCAAATCCAAGCCAACCGGGTGAAAGTGTAACAAGTTTAAACCCAAACCTGGCCCGAAACCCAAAACACGGGTTGACCGGGTTGGGTCGGGTAGGGTACCCTTGGGTTCAGGTTTTATTGTCATCCCTAATGGTGATGGTAGGGGTGAACATTAGGTGGGTGACCCACAGATTCAGGGGCGGAGCTAGGTGAGGGCTTGGGGGGGCCCGCCCCCCCTCCCCCCGAGAATTTTAGAACCTACGTATAATTTGTACGAAATTTGAAAAGTTACGTATAAACATAACAGTATTTATAGATACATAAGCGTGCAAAATTTGGTCACATGTACAATGCCAGTCTAACGGCGAAGTCTTAACTCTGCATCTCAATTGACTCGAGTTTTTTTTTTTTTTTACAATGACAGTTTCATTAAAACTGAGAAGTGTACAAAGTGGGTAAAAACCCAGAGGAAAGACAACATACAAAACCATCAAAGAAGGAGAAAAGCCCAAACACACAGGCCCAAAAATAAGTGTCCAAAGACCAAAACACATTAGCCCACAAACACCCACAAAATAGCCCACAAGAGGACAAAACCCCAACACTAGCTGATTCCATCTTCTATGTGCAGCCGTCGTCGCTGGTAACAACATCATTCGCCGACCACCTTCCCAACCCAGCACCAGATAGAGAGAACCAACTCCACTGTAAACGAAATGAGGCTGGAATGCAAAAGCTTACCATCCCAGATGCGGATCGAAGCAAGACGAGCACAACAGAACCAATACTCGCCTCCCAACCTTACCTCATCGGTCCAGAATGTCTTCAGATGCTCCCAGAAGACCATGCACGAGCCGATCTTCAGAACGAATGGGCGTCCAACGACAAAACACATAGATCGAGTCTCTGTCTTATGATCTCCCCACCGCGTTCGAGCAGATTCACAAGAGAAGGCTACTAGCATCTCCTAAACGTCGAGATCAGCTGGGCGAAGCAATGAGGTAGACGAGAGGCTAGAAGACGAGAAGGCAAGCCGATCTTAAGAACCAAAACCAGCCACCCTTTGCCACCACGAAAAAAAGATCTCTAGATCTAAAGAATCAGAACAGAATTGAAAGACAATCATCTCTAGAAGAGAGATCGAAGGAGAAAATCCAAAAGAGGATCTGAAAAAGGAAAGCAAAAAGAAGGGAATAGAGCGATTGAAAAGACGGAGCGGAGGGCTGCCACCAGTCGTCGGAGAGACGCCGGTAGCAGCCCCCGAAAGGGACTTGGAAAGAAAAGTTTAGAGAGAAGTCAGAGTAGAATGGAAGAGAGAGGTGTCAAGTGGGCGGGGTTGTTTAATTGACCCGAGTTCAATCCCTGGAAGGTGCTGGTTTTTAATTTTTTTTAGTGTGTACTTTTTCTTTAAAAAAACTTCTCCTATTGATCACCATTCATATATCTTTTTGTGTTTTCATTTACCAAAGAAATAATTTTATTTTTATATTTTCTTATAAGTTCAGTCATTGATTTTAGACTATACCAATTTAGTTATTCAACTTTTGAATTCTTATTTATTGTGTTATTAATTGACTTCAAACATTAATATATACATATATTTATTTTCCAGTCATAAAGATATTGAAGGACGTAGTATACAATGGAATGTATGATTTTTTTGTTCATATAATTACCCTTATTTGGAACATAATAAAATAGAATTTTTTTTACATATAATTTAATAACGTGATCATATAATTCACATTTCCCTACTAGTAAACCAAACAAATTTTGGCCCCCCCAACATCAAATCCTAGCTCCGCACCTGCACAGATCCACCCAAAACCACCCGCAATCGACCCACCCATTATAATGTGGGTGGTTCATATGGGTGGATGTGGGTTGTGAAAATAGGTGACCCACAAAAGATTGGTTGGGTGCGGGTGGACTATGGTTGACCCACGATCCACCCAACATTTTAAGCTCAAACCATCGAAGTTCTAACATATAATTTTACCGAAAGTAGAACTCTTAAAATCACAAAAGTTCCTCTCAATTTTGATCAAAAGATGAGTTGTGAGGTGTTCTTAAAGCAATTAGAGCTACTCTTTAGCATAACTAGTAGAAAAATGGCAGAAAAAGACAATTGTATTTAATTATGCTCACAATGCCTAGATGAATGAGACGCTCGGCAATACCACAACGTTTGCGTATGTCTAGTGCCTTTTTGAACATTGGTTGTTATCAGACTCAGAACATGTTTATTAATTGAAAATTTTGTAATTTGTAGACAATTGTCAATACCAATATTGTAAAATAAATAAATTACCTGATTTATGCATTAAATGTTATTTAGTTCAAAAATTTCTTTTATTTTAATTTTTAAATTATTAAAACTATGTGATCATATGAAATATATGTTGCAAACTACCGAATTCACCCAACCATTCATTATCCGCAATCATCCAACCCAACTCACCCACATATAATACTTGAGAGTGTGTGGGTCATTTTTTTCCTTCACCCACCACGTAGTGTGGTTCCAAATCCGCATAAAACAATCCACCACTGCTCACCCCTATACGTTGTGTTCCAAATCCACCCAAATTCGCATAAAACAACCCACCCTACTCACCCTAGGTAATGGATTATGTCTTAATTTCCCCTTGAGCTTTCAGTGGAGAGACCGGCAATGAGGAACATGCAAAGCTTTCATGGGGCGAATCCCCATCAATCTTCAGGAGATTTCGCCGGCAACACCATTCGTTGGCAGGGACGAGATTTCAAGTTTGAAATTGGGTTTTTTCCCTCTTCTTTCTACCGAGTGTTGTATGGTGGGTAGGGCTGTTAATGAACCAAGCCGCTCATGAACGACTCGGTGTGCGACTCGAGAAATACTCGTTCGACACTCGATTCGTTTTAATCGAGCCGGCTCGCGAACAAGCTCGTTAACTAAACGAGTCGAACTCGAGCCATACCATGTTCAGCTCGAAAGCTCGCGAACAAGCTCATTTAATGGTTTGGCATAAAAAAGGGATTAGAATTTATGGATTTCATGTATTGAAATTGAGATAAATATTGTGTTTTACTTTGCTAGACTTTGCTATAGGTTTGAATGTACTTTTGTGAGCAGTTTTAGGTCAATCTTGAGCTATCATGAACATTTTATGAGTTGAACTCGATTTTGGGCTCGTTAACCTTATATGACGAGCCGAGCTCGAGCCGAGCTCGAGCTTTCATTTTCATAAACGAGCCGAGCTCGAGCTTGCATATTAAAACTCGTGACGAACACGAGCCGAGCTCGAGCCTGGAAATATATTAACGAGTCGAGCCCGAACTATGGCAAAGCTCGGCTCGACTCGGCTCATTAACAGTCCTAGGTAGGAGTTCATAGATTTGGAGGGAAAAAAGCTAGCGGTTAATCAGCGGTGCACCCGTTACAAATCGGTTAGTCACCGACAATCGACGGTTGGCTACGAAACTAAAATAACCCAATCGTGGCTGAAACTGCAACCATTTTTTCGGTGTGCGATTACCTGACTAATCGTGATTTTTTGGTTAGCCGATTAACTAATCACCGACTATCATCCCTAGTTAAGGTACTCGTCTCGCCCCCATTACTATCACTAGATTTAAGAGTATTAAAATTTGTGCATGTGTGTTGGAATTTATGTTTAAAGAAGAAAATATATTTTATCTCGGTTATTGATTTTATTTTTCGCGTGAGTAACTAACAAGGTGTTCATTTTTCACTGTCTACAATCTACATGATCAAGACTCCAGCATATCTAAAATCACGTTGGGCCGCCAATAATGCAGACTCCTAGGCTTAGCATCTTTTTGGGCCCAAACAGAACCTTGCTCGACCCCTCTATTTTATACCGCCCTTCAGGAAAGAAGACCTAGCAGCCTGCAGCAGGGAGCTGAAACCTATCAGTGAATTGAAGGGACAGATTCCCGATTTCCGACGGCGCATGGCCACCGCCGCGCCGCATTCACAGGACGACAGCGACGACGACGATATAGAACTAAACCCTATGAGAGTCCTTCTGCCTGCCGAAGAATCCGAAGAACGAGAAACCCCATCGGCGCCGCGAGATGGAGACTCCAATCTAGAAATCGAGCAGCATTACCTCCATTCGATCAAGTCAGCCGTGAAAATCCGCCAGCTCCCATCGGAAGGCCTCTCCTTCAAGCTATGGCCCGCAGCCACCACTCTCGTCAACCTCCTCGACCGCCACGTAGTCGATCCCACAACCAGCCCGCTCTTGTCCACCCTCACCGCCGCCCGAGCAGGCCGCTGCCGCGGGAAGCTCAAAATCCTGGAGATTGGCTCGGGGACCGGCCTCGTCGGGATAGCTGCTGCGGCCGTGCTGGGCGCTGACGTCACGGTCACCGACCTCCCCCACGTGGCGCCTAACCTTCAATTCAACGCCGAGCTCAACGCCGACGTGGTGCGCTGCGGAGGAGGGGCGGTCGACGTGGCTCCGCTGAGT